TAGGACCGAGCCTTGGGGCCTCAGAGTGGGCAGGGCGGCGCCCAGAGTGCTGAGGGCGCTTAGAGTCTGGCCTGAGGGGCCTTAGGGAACCAAGCTGAGATTCAGGGGGGCATCCTATGGGGCCCTGGGGGCGGGATTGCCCCCCTCCAGCAGGCCTGATGGGGGAGGGGCCGCGGCGGCCAAGGATACCTCCTCCATCCAGGCCCGGACCCCGCAGGCCGCCCAGGCAAACGCAGGGCCCCAATCACTGGTGCTGGGCCAGGACAAGGCAGCAAGGCGTCCCCGAGAGCGCCAGGGAAACGGGTGGCGTCGGATCGTGAGCCCCGGGCCTTAGCCTCTCCCGGGAACCGGGCGTCTCGTCCTCGAGCCCGTCGACCTTGCGGCAAGCGGGGAGGGGAGAGGAGGGGGCGCGCCCGGAGGCCCCGCGGGCCCGCCGCCGCTGCTGCCGTGTCCCTTTGTTTCTCGGCGCTTCTTCGCGGGCTATAGCATCGCGCGGGCGCCTCAGGCTGCGGGGAGGGGGAGGGGAGAGAAGGGCCCACGGGTGGGGGATGCTTCCCGGCTGCTGGGCCCCCGCCCCCCGGGGGATGGGGTAAGGTGCTCAGGCAGGCCTCCTAAGCCAGGTCCAGGCGCCCCATCCCGCCAAGGTTCTGGGCCGCGGGGTGACCTTGAGCGCGCCCGCCCGACCGCACCACTAGCCCGGCTCCCGGTGCTTTCAGCAGCCACCGAGCTGGTCAGCTCCCCAGCGCGCAGCCACGCCCGACCACGCCCGGGCTGACCACGCCCCTGCCCCGCCCATCTATGCCCCGCCCCCTAGGGCCCTGGGGGGCCGGCCTCGCCCGAGCCCTCGGATTTCCACTCGGCATCCCGGGCGTCTCCCGGGGGCGGGGCTGGCCAGTTCTAGCCCCACCCCGGCTCCACCCCCGCCCCCACCGCGCGACTCCGCTCCCCGCGCCGCCGCGCGTCCTTTGTCTGGTCCCAGCGCCCGGGCCTCCTTCTTCCCCTCTTCCAGTCTCTCGGTTCTCTGTGTGTGTCTCTGTACACTGTGTCTCTTTTTGGGCCTCTTTTTCGAGTTTTGGAGAGCACAGTGGGTGGGGAGATGCTCAGCACTCCCTCCTGGATCCTGGGACCGCCCCCTGATCTGAGAAATGAGACCTGAGAGGCCAGGCTTTTCTGCTGTGTGACTTCAAGCTGGCTCCTTCCCCTCTCTGGGCCTCACGCTGCTCATCCAGGTCCAGGGACGTGACTGTGGCTTCCTGAGAACCCTCAGAACCGCCACAACAGTCCAGCATCCATTCCTCAGATCTGTTCCTTCATTTGAAAAAGGAAAACAGATGCACAAAGTAGACAGGGTGTGGTCAGAGGTCACAGGAGGGCCTTGGAGGCTTGGTTACTACAATGGAGGGCACTCAAGCAGAGATCCACCATGGGGACAGACTGGGAGGAAGTGAGAATAAATTCAGACAGTGAGGGCTCTCTGCATGGAGGGAGAAGGGCCCAGAAGTGGGAGGCTCAGTTAGCACCACGTGGTGGGCAGCCTTACCATGCAGAGCCACTCAATGCCCTATTGTCGTCAGTATCCAGGCATCTGTCACTGTGATCTGTCCGGGATGGGGGGCAGTGCGCAGCTGGGGGCCAAAGGGGTCAGACACTGGAGGGTCTACACAGCAAGTGACCTCAGGTGTGTTCACTGCAAAATCCTTATGTCAGATGTATGTGCAAAAGAGTTGGAGAGTAGAGAGGGAGGGAGGGGGAGACAGGGGTTCAGAGGGGAGAGGTGAACAGAGGAGAAAGAGAAACAGGAGGGAAAGGGAGAGAGAAACAAAGAGGAAGAACTGGAGAGTGGGAGGGAAGGTTTCATTGCTCCCAGCCAGCATCTGCCTCTCCATCCAAGGCCCTCCTCCCCTCTGATTTTACCTCTCTGACCCTGGGACAGCCCTCAAAGGTCCCTGTGATCCCTGTGTCACCCCAGGCCACACATTTGCTGTGGATTGGAGCAGGGTGGGTGTGACCTCCACCAGTCTGATCCCCATTATCAGCTCAGCCGGCTCAGCGTGAAGGAAATGCAGGCGACGCTGATCCAACTAAGCTCTGGCACAGATGGGAGGGAGATGGGGTGATGGTGAGATTGGTAGACGGGCTCAAGATCCCAGGTAGGAACCCCCTCAATCACCTCAACCTACTTCAAGTTGAAGGCAGCATTTAAGGTGGGGGGAGCCTGTAACCCTGTAGGCTTTGCAGTCATCTTATCAGGAGTCAAACCATGACTGCATTACTACCATCTCCTCCTGTCACCCGAAGCAAGTTAAAGGTCCCTCTGTCCCTTAGTTTCTCCCTCTGAGAAATGGAGAGATCTCCAGCTTTCCGTATGGTTGAGGGAAGTCAATGAAAACTTTGCACATGCTCAGTGCCTAGCATATGGTAGAGGTTCCAAAGCTAGAATCTGGTGTGTCCTGAAACAGGGCTGTGTACTGCTGAATGCTTGTTAGGCTCCACATTATCAACTGATCACAGAACTCTACCTCACTGAGCCTGGACAGGAGTTCAGAATTCTTCTCCATACATGGGGGACTTTTGTGCCTTAAGTGGAGGGACAGAGGCCCAGAGAGGCAACATGAGTGTCAGAGGACACACAATGAGGAGGGGGAAGCCAGTAGCTGGCATGTGGTGGCACCCGGTAAATATTTGTTGAATTGGATGAGTAGTAAATTCAGCCAACAGAATGGGTTTATATGTGGATGCCTGGGGTGTGGCATTGAGCAGGATACTCAGTTTCACTTGGCTGTTATTGTTTTTACTATTATGGGCCTTTTCATGAGGAGTCCAACCCCTGGATTTGAATTCTTGGTCCGCTATTTGCCTGCTGCCCAACCTTGTGCAAATCCCTACCCCTTCGTTGAGACTCAGTTTCCTCATCTGTTAAATGGAGAAGAGAGTCCCCTAACATTCAACTTTGGGAGAACTGCTGGATATTCTCACATAAGAATTTTGCCTGGCATATAGCAGGAGTTCAATATATGGCCATGTTATTAGTAAAGTGCTAATGTTAGGGGACGCAGATCCATGGAGTGTGCTTTACTGCTTTACTACAGGCGCCTGTGACAGACATTGCTAATCAACCCAGTGCTTGTTCCTGCTCAGCCTGGACGTGGCTTCAGAATAATCCTCCGGGCAGCCCCCCAGCTAGCCAATCCCATTAAAGATGCAGGGGAGTTGACCCGCTCTGCCATCCTTTTAATAAGAATAAATGGAAAGGAAGCAGAGGCCCAAAGAAGAGCTAAGATCATCCCTGAAGCTGCCCCAACGCAATGGCCACAGTCATTAAAAAAAGCTCTGAAGTCTGACACAAACAGGTTTGAAATGTAGTTCCCCATTTACATCACCCAACATCTCTGAGCTCAGTTTCCTCACTTGTAAAATGGAGAATGTGTTCCAGTCTTTCAAGATTGTTGAGAGCAATAAGTGAAATGATGCCTTGAAGTGCTTCACAGTGCCTGGCGCATGGTAGACGCTCAGTAGAGCAGGACGATTATTAATAGTAGGATATTGAGGCAGGGATGGTGTATGAGGCAAACCTGTTTCCACTTTCCATGGTTGTACCCATGACAGACATGGCTAACTGATCCCAGAATGCTTTCCATCTGCACCCATATGTGGCTTTACATCCTTTCCTGGGCCACTGAGCCAGTAATTTGGGGTTTGCAGCAAAGTAGGGCAGAGAGGCCCAGAAGTGTTAAATAGAGTACCTGAGGACACACAGCTGGGAAATGTTAAGGCTGGCACTAGTTTGGCAGTGACAGTTGGAAATACAGACTCTGGATCAGAAAAACTCATGGACAAATCCCTGATCCACCATTTATGGGCTGCGTGATCTTTGGTAATTTTGAAACATCTCTGAATCTTACTTTCTTCATCTTAGCTCAGGCTGTTATAACAAAATACCATAAACTGGGTGGCTTAAATGACATTTATTTCTCATAGCCGGGAAGCCGGATAGTCTAAGATCAAGGTGCCGGCAGATTTATTTCCTGGTGAGAGCTCGCTTCCTGGTTTGCAGACACTTGTCTTTTTGCTGTGTCCTCACATGGTGGATCATTTCTCTCCTGTCCCTTTTAATAAAGAATGGATCCCATTCATGGGGTCTTCACTTTCACGACCTATTTACCTCCCAAAGGCCCCACCTCCAGGTACCATAACATTGGGGGTTAGGGCTTCAACATATGAATTTGGAGGCGGACACAAGCATTTAGTCCATAGCATCTGTTAAGCAGGGGGAATAAAACTCTCCTCTTTTAGGGGCTATTGTGAATAAGAAAAGAAAAATTGCCTGTAGAGGGCTTTTCTCTGTGCCTGGCATATAAGGAACAATATTTGGGAACAATTATAATATTGTATTTTGAGTCAGCAATGGCTGAGATGATGTGTACCTTGCTGACTCTAATTCTGTGGCCACAGCACACATTGTTAATCATAAGTCTCTTCTGCTGAAACTGGATGTAGCTTCAAATCCTTAATTTCATCCATCTAGAAAGACTACAATCGATTTGAGTTTTTAAGTGAGGGCAACCTATTCCCACTCGTGCCATAAGAGAAGGCCTAAGGAAATGTTGGCTACTTTACCTTCCGATGCTCAAGACAGACACCAATCAATCCAGCGCTGTTTCCTCCTGAGCCCAGATGTGACTTTAACATTCTTCTTGATAATGTAAAATATTGGGTTGTAGGAAAAGTTATGATGCGTTTTTGCAATGAAAAACATAGAAAAAATACATCATGACTTTTCCAACACCCCAATAGATGCAGAATATATTTGAAAGTCGTTTGGAGAGTAGATTTTTCATTACAAGAAACAAATGTTTTGTAACTATGTGTGGTGATGGATTGTTAACAAGACTTATTGTGGTGATCATTTTGCAATATATACAAATATCAAATCATGTTGTACATCTGAAACTAAGATAATGTTACATGTCAGTTATATTTCAATTTAAACAGATGTAGAAAAAGAGCATTCAGTAAAATTTGACATCCATCCTTAAAAAAATATACCTTGTTACGTACTAGGAATAAATTAAACATCTTAACCTGATACAGGCCATTTAACAAAAAAACCTACAGCAAAGGGGTGACCAGTTAGCTCAACTGGTTAGAGCGTGGTGTTGATAACACCAGGGTTGCTGATTCGATCCCCGCATGGACCATTGTGAGCTGCGCCCTCCCTAAAAGAGTCAACTATGCTACTGTAGCATGAAAGCAATGTGTATGTAACCAATGACCATGGCTGTTCCCCAATAAAATTTATTTTTTAAAAAAACCTACAGCAAAGATCATATTTAGCTGTGAAATATTTAAAGCATTTTCTTTAATGTCAGGAATAAAGAAGGCACATCATATTTGTAGCCCCTGCAATAAGATAAGAAAAATAAACACCAGGTATAGATTGGAGATAAATAAAGCAGTCATTATTTGCAGGTGTTATGTTATACGTTAAAAAAAAAAGCTCAATGGAAAACTGGGCAGGGGGGAGGTAAATGCCTAGTGGGAAAATTATGCATAAAGCAAAAGAAATATCAACACATTTGGGATAGGAATTACCTTTGGTGGGAGGAGGGAAGTACATTGTCATGGAGGACTTATGAGGGCTTCAAAGCTAATAAAAATGTTACATTTCTTATTCAGAAGACAAAAGTGTTCATTTTTATTCTGAAAGTGCACAGGTTGGTTTGATACAAACAGGCAAATATATATACAAAGGGACATATGGCATTTATATATGGAATTTTTCACAGTATAATCATGTTAAGTGCTTTGCTTAGTGCTCAAGGAGTGGAAGGGATTATTAGAATAATACGTTGTCCCCTCCCCATGTTCAAGTCCATGTCAGACATGACTGATCCATCACCACCAAGCCCTTCCTTACTCCCCTGTCCCTGGTGTGGGGACTGGGCCGTGAGCGGGTGTGGCCTGTTGTCTTCAGCAGATACTCGGGGCCATGGAGTCTCAGGTGGCAGGGGGCCCGGCCGGCCCGGCCCTGCCCAATGGGCCACTCCTTGGTACAAATGGAGCCACTGATGACAGCAAGACCAACCTCATCGTCAACTACCTGCCCCAGAACATGACCCAGGATGAATTCAAGAGTCTCTTCGGCAGCATTGGTGACATTGAGTCTTGCAAGTTGGTTCGGGACAAGATCACAGGTGTGGCTGCTGGCAGGTGGGAAGGGGGAGGGATAGAAGTGGTAGCCTCAGGGATATAGGTGTGATGAGGGCCGGTGGGACCCTGGGGGATTTGAGGTGTAATGGAGAGACAGGTATGGCCCCAGGTGGGAGGTATTGGGGGCAGATGAGACCCTAGGGGATCTGGGGTGTGATGGAGAGGCAGGGTGACTCCAGATGGGAGGTATTGGGGCAGATGGGACCCTGGAGGTTTTTGAAGTGTGATGAGGAGACAGGTGTGGCCCCAGGTGGGGTCTCTCAGGGGTGATGGGACAGGTGGGATCCTAGGGTCTAAGATGTCCTAGGGGTGTTCAGCCTCTCAGGCTTGGGTCCAGGAGGACTCTGGCAGGTCCAGGGAGTAGGTCATTGTTCTGGTCCTGCCCACAGGGCAGAGCCTGGGCTATGGGTTTGTGAACTACTCTGACCCCAACGACGCAGACAAAGCCATCAACACCCTCAACGGCCTCAAACTGCAGACGAAGACCATCAAGGTTGGTGCCCTTGTTCCCCTGTGCTGCCTGTCCCCGTTAGTGCTCATCCTGACTGTCCCCATTTCCCCTTTGTGACTGCCCACTGGACCGCCCCCTTCACTGCCACACATCCTCTTCCACGGCTCATCTCCTGAGGGGTCCAAATCTCTCCCCCAAGGCTCCCCCAATATCGCCCCCCCCAACCAATAGCTCTGCCTCTCTGAACCTCAGTTTCCTCACTTGTCAATGGGGAGAATATCACCCCGCATTGTGTGGTGGCTCAGGGAGGTACCCAACCTGCTGGCAGTAGGAGAGAGTGACCAGGGTGGGCAGCCCCCTCCCTGCCTTTGTCATGGAAATGGAGGAGGGGTGGGGGCCCATCTGCCATCTGGAACCTAATTAGGGTCTGGGAGGGCGGGATTAACGGTGGGCCCTTCCCCTACCTTTGTGCAATGCCCCTCCCCCACGACCACCCCTCTCAGCAGCTGCAGCTGCAGCTGGGACCCTGGGAGCCCAGGTTCCCCAGGGAAAGATCGCCATGGAAACCCCCCTCTCTAGATTTGCCTGGGAGTTTCTGGGCTCCGCCCCACAAATCTGCTACTGAACCCTGGGGGAAGCTTGGCTGGTGGGGTACTTACTCATCTGGCCCTCAGTTCACCATGGGAACAGAGGTGCAGGAATCTTTTCCTCTCCCTGATCCGAGAAGCGAGGTCATGGCCTGGTGGGTCCCTCCATGGCCAACTAGGCCCAGAAGCCCCCAGGTGTGAGGGTAGACCCTAGTGACAAACTGTAAAGCCCAGAGAGCCACTGTGTACCTGTGATGTGATCAGTGTCAGTGTGTGTGTGTGTGACCTTAGGTTTTGAGACGGTGTTTGTGGGACACTGTAGCTATGTGAGTGGCTGCCATCACGTGGGTCCAGCTATTATAGACTTCGGGTGTGTTACTATGTGTCTGTGGGACATGGTATCTATTTGACAGGTGTTTTGTCACACACTACGACTCCGGCTGTGACCTGTTGGGACTGCGTGGGTGTGTCTGGCTGTGACAGGGTGTTTGTGTGTCACAGTGAAGTTGTTTGGGTGTGTCTACCTGTGCCTTATTTAGGGTGGAATGTGTGTGATGTTGTGGGCTTATGTGGTGGTGTGACTCTTACTGTAATTATCCAAGATTCCCAGAGTTGCCATGAAAGTGGCCAAGGCCTTGTGTTACCCTCCTGCAGGGGTGGTCACCATGGCTGTGCAATGGGTGGCACAGTGTGTCCCAGTGTGTGCATGTGCGTGCATGTGTCTGCCTGGGTGACTGAACACCCGACTAGGTGTTCTAGCAGATTCCGCCCAAAATGTTTCCAACTGCCCATTGTATGCCAGGCCCTGTCCTGGTGAGGGGGTGAAGGGATGGGGTCAGCCCATATCATGGAAGGACAGGAAAGGCCCCTGAAGACCTACTGTGTGTCTCAGATGACCCTTGACTCCAAACACACAGAAGCTCAGGTCCCCTTACCATCATCCCCAATTCCAATCCATCAACAAGTCCTCACCCCTCAAAGCTCACAGACCTATGGGGGAGAGTGAAAACTGTCAAATACATGGCTATGCTTTTTAATTTTTATTACAGAAATAATAGAGCTGATGTGTTTTCTTTTTCTCCTGGAGGACCCCAGGTGTGCACAATGGCACTAATTAGAATCCCCTCACCCCCACCCCTTGGGCACCCTCACCCCATCCACTCCCAGCCCAATTTATTCATTTTGTTAGTTTTTTAATTAGTTATTTGTAATGAAGTAACACGCCCTTGCAACTCACAGCCCCAAACAAAAGGCAGATCCCTGACAAGGACCCCTATCTACCCAGAAGTTAATTTAGAAAAAATAGAAAACAGACATCGGCAAAAATAAGGGGGAGAGGAGCTCATGACACCCCCACCCTACTCCCGCCAGTTATAGGTCACCCTGTTAATACTGGGGGATGTGCCCTTCATTCATTCCATGTTTCCAGGACATTGATAAACACACAATGAGATGGGGTCACACAATACTCACTGCTCTATAAATGGACTTTTCTTTCCTCCACTTTACAATACTCACCACTGTTTCAGGGAAATCAATAGCCATGTCCACCATTTTTTAAACAGCTACAGAGATTTCACTGCTGGGTGGGATCATAATTAATTACATGAATCAAATGATCGTACTAAAACATGTCTAATTCACAACTGAGAGAAGTACTTTGAGAGTAACGGGGAGTAACCCAATTCAGATGGGAGAGGACAGGGAGGACATTTCAACTGAGACCTAGAGAACACAAGAGAGGAAGAGAGTTTCAGGTAGAGAGAACGGCCAGGGCAAAAACCGTGAGGCAGGAAACACGCCTGGTGTTAGGGGAACAAGGAAGAGGCCTGTGTGACTGGAACAGAGCAATCAAAGGAGGAGTGTGTGGAGACGAGGGCAGGGGGTCGATGGGGCAAGTCGTGTAGGGCCCTGTGAGCCATGAGAAGGACCTGAACGCTGAGGAAGGTGGGAGCCACAGAAGGTTCTGAGCAGAGGAGGGATGTGACCTGGCTCAGATGTTCACAGGCGCCCTCTGGCTGCTGTGGGGGGGAACAGCCTGTGAGGGGTGAAGGTGGGATTGGGGACCAGGACTGAGATGGCTGTACTGGTCGGGGTGGGCAATGGTAGGTGCTGGGCCAGAGTGGGGAATCAAAGTGGGCAGAAATATATAGATTCTGGATAATGAGGAAGGTGGAGCCAACAGGATTGCTGGTGGATTGGATGTGGGTGTGAAAGTCAGAGAGGCATCAAAGACAACTGAAGCTGAGTTCTGAGCACCAAGGAGGACTGAGCTGCCATTACTGAGTCCAGGCAAGTTGGGGGCAATTGGGAACCAGACATAGCTACACTGAGTGTGACCCTAGTGAGGCCCCCTCGTGGGGTGCCTGGAGACAGGTGTCACACAGCTGTGGAGCTCAGGGGCCAGGTACATGGTGGGGATGAACATTTGTGAGTCATTACGGTTGAGCTAGTAGCTAAAGACCTGAGTGACCCTCAGGAGCCCAGTGTAGTTGGGAAAAGAAGGGGCCAATGTCCGAGGCTCATTTTCCAAAGGAGTGGGAAGCATCAGTGTTGATGGGATGTCCAACATGAGAGCATGAGCTGAGGATGCAAGAGTCCCTGAGGTCCCCAGGGTGACATGTGACGCCAGGAGTGTGACTCCTTTGACCTCTTTAGGCGACAAGTCCCCCATCACTCTATGCAGGCAGGGCCACAGCCACATTGTCCCAGCCATGGCCATGCCTTGTCCCCCATGCCCCAGTCAGCTGCACCCATGGTGACGTTGCAAGAGACATTTGTTGAGTGAGCAGATGAGGCATTCCTGTGACTCGGTGGTGGTTCAGTTGTGGCCTCTCTCTCGCCCCATCTGCAAAATGGGTCCCCCTTCACGCCTTTCCACCTAACCCTCCCCCAGGTGTCCTATGCCCGCCCCAGCTCCGCATCCATCCGGGATGCCAACTTATACGTCAGTGGACTCCCCAAGACTATGAGCCAGAAGGAAATGGAGCAGCTCTTCTCCCAATATGGTCGCATCATCACTTCCCGCATCCTGGTGGACCAGGTCACAGGTCAGGCTGCTGGGGAGGGTGCACCTGGCAGGGGTGTTGGGCGGCTGCACCAACGTGGGTTCAGAATGGAGAAATGGGGAACGTCAGAGTGAGAAGGGGGCGAGTGGAAGGGGGTCACACGAGGAGGGCAGGGTCCTCAGGATGCCCTCACCCCCTGGCAGGTGTGTCTCGGGGTGTGGGGTTCATCCGCTTCGACAAGAGAATTGAGGCCGAGGAGGCGATCAAAGGACTGAATGGGCAGAAGCCGCTGGGTGCAACTGAGCCCATCACAGTCAAGTTCGCCAACAACCCGAGTCAGAAGACGGGACAGGCTCTGCTCACTCACCTTTACCAGTCATCGGCCCGGCGCTATGCAGGCCCCCTGCACCATCAGACGCAGCGCTTCCGGTGAGCCACCTGCTGCCCCCGTCCCTGGATAGGGTCCCAAGACTTGAAGCTGTCCTCCCTGAAACCCATTTCTGCAGGGCAGAGGGACATCGGTATGGTACCCACATGCTGAGACTGCTGAGAGCTCTCCAAAGGGCTGTTGGGGGTCTGTCAGGTGCTGAGGCCAGGCCCTTGTATACAGCAAGCATTCAATGTGTGCAGGGCACTACAAGTGGCATTATCAGTGTTAAGAGTTTAGAGTCATCCGATCAGGTCCACCTCTGACTGCGTCCCTCTCTTTCGGGCACATGGCTCCAGCTATCTGTGCCCCTTGGTTTCCTCAAGCACATTTCAGGTGTGCTTATTGTGTGCCAGGGACACGCATTTATTCTGCACAGAAACCCCATGAGAATGCAGCTTGTCTTGTGCCCATTTGACAGATGGGGACCCTGAGGCTCAGAGAGGCATTGTCGCTTGCCCAGCCTAGGCACTGTGATGAGGAGACTCAAACCTTCCCTTCTGGGGACCTGAGCCCTGCAGGGTAGGGACAGGCCAAGAAGCCGAGAAAGGGAGGACAAGGACTCAACAGGGCAGGCGAGAGGCGGTGCTGGAGTGACCACGGTCCGTGCCAGGCGGTGTCCAGCCGGGCGGGGAGCGGGTGGCGGGGGCAGGGCTGATGCTGCTGGCCTGCAGAGTGGGGGCAGGGAGGGCAGGCTGGCTGACCAGCATGACAGCCGGGAGGGTGCCTGGAGGCTACCAGTGACCACTCCTTCTGCTCCACAGGCTGGACAATTTGCTCAACATGGCCTACGGAGTCAAGAGGTAACAGTGCCCCCACCCTGCTGCCCCCAGCCCCTCACTGTACCTCCTCGGACCCTTACCCTGATGGACACCCTCCCCGCCTCACCCCCAGGAATACCAGCTTAGCTGTCTCTGTCCCTGTCAGGAAGTAGTATGTCCATTAAGAGATTTGGGGTCTGTGGAGTTTAGTAAATGCCTACAAAGAGCTACTATGGCATTTGGCCCATGGGCCCTGTCCGTGACCCTCTCCAGCCCAGTGGAAGGTGGGCAGTGGTTGCCTGGGTCACACCCATGCCCCCTGGTTCCCATGTTAAGTCTTGAGTTCCACCTGCCACTATTGGTTGTCTTTGCTGAGGGTCACAGACTGCCCCCATCTGCCCTGTGGTTGGGGATGGACCTCGAGGACCCCACAACATTGCCCACATCTTTGACCCTGTGAAGGTCCTGTGTTTATTGCTTCACGAGCTGTTGAGCGTACGCTGAGTGCCAGGCGCTTGGCTTGGGGCCGGGGCTCCAGCATGGCCCAGCCAGACTTGGTCCCTCATGGAGATGAAATGGTACTGAGCACAGTGCTTGGCACATAGTGAGCGCTCAATAAAAGGTAGCTGTTATTATTATTATTGTTACTGTTATTGATTATCTCAGTCTAGTGGGAAAGGAGACAGTTGGATGAACAGTGTTAGGGTGGTAAAATGGGCAGGAGTAATGAGGACCCATTGGGGACCCCCAACCAGTCTGAGGTGACAGAGCAGAAGTGGAGTTCCTGGCAGCAGAAACAGCATGAGTGAAGGCCCGGAGGAAGGAGCGAGCAGTTAGTCCCAAGAGCTCAAACTAAATGGTTCAGGCCCTGAGGGTCTCTACCCAGTGGCGTGGATCCCCCGTACCCACTGTTTTTTAGGAGCTGTTCTGTGTTGGGGCACCACAGAGAACAAAACTTAGAGAAGAGGAAGCTGATAATAAATATATGATTTGAATAGGAAAAGGCGAAAGAGTGATAGAGGGAGGAGGTGGCCAAGTTATTGGTCAGAGGAGGCCGCCCTGAAGGGGGTGACAGTTGTGCTGAGACCTGAATAACAGGAGAGGGGCATTTAAATGACTAGGCTCATATCCTGACTCCCAGCATTGCCCTTCCTGGGTGGACCACCAGTCACATGGCTGGGTGGCCAGTGAGACAAATGGGACATCGGACAGAGAGCAAGGTCAGGATGCGATCAGGGTAGGGGCAAGGGCAGTTCTATGGGCAGATGTGCCAAGAGGAGTGGCCAAGGGTGCGGGGAAATGGTCAAGGTCAATAGGGCCAAGGACCAGGTAAGGCCAAAGGTCATGGGGTCAGGGTGTAGTTTGGGGCAAGGTCATCGGTGAGGGCCTAATGTTCAGGGATAGGCAGAGGTCAGGAGAGGGTGCAGGTCAGGATGGACATTGGGGGCTGGTGCCTCAGAGGGTGAGGTTAAAGGTGGGGTTACAATGGAGGTCATGGTGAGTCAGGACACTACAGAGCTCACAAGAGTCCCGAGGTCAAGGCATGGTCAGAGGTCATGGCAGTGTTGGGGTCATGGCGTCACAGTGGGGTCGGGGGCATGCTGGGGGTCAGGGCAGAGCCCGCGTGACCCCCAAAGTAGTCCCCTGTCGCTCATCGCCAGGTTCTCTCCCATCGCCATCGACGGCATGAGCGGCCTGGCGGGCGTGGGCCTGTCAGGGGGTGCAACGGGCGCCGGCTGGTGCATCTTCGTGTACAACCTGTCACCGGAGGCAGACGAGAGCGTGCTGTGGCAGCTGTTTGGGCCCTTCGGGGCAGTCACCAATGTCAAGGTCATCCGTGACTTCACGACCAACAAGTGCAAGGGCTTCGGCTTTGTCACCATGACCAACTATGATGAGGCGGCTATGGCCATCGCCAGCCTCAATGGCTACCGCCTGGGCGAGCGTGTGCTGCAGGTGTCCTTCAAGACCAGCAAACAGCACAAGGCCTAAGCCTCCGCCGCCCTCCCCACCCTCCCCGGGCAGCAGAGAGAAAGAGAGAGAGAGAAGGGGCCCGAGAGAGACAGCACAGGCAGACCCCGGACAGCACGAGGCCCCGCACCCCTGCGGGAGCCACAGGGTGAGCACTCGGGCTGGGAGGGTCTGCAGGGAATGGGGGGCTGCCTGGGGGTCCCTCACCCATCCTCCTGCTCCCACCCCAGGCTGGGCTCTTCACTCTCTCGTCTTGGTTTTGTTCATGGCGATGGTTTTTGTTTCTTTTTTCGGCTAAAAAGAAAGCAGAGATGTGCCCCCACCCCAACCCTCAACCACCCTCCACAGGATGGCTTTTGGGAGGGTGCTGAGGGTGCCCTCCAGGCCTCCCCAACACCGAGGTGAGCCTGAGCAGGGGAGGGAACAGGTTTAAAAATCCCCAACAAAGCAAAACATGAGAGGGGTTGGGCATCCCTGGCCCAGAGCTCCTTGGTGATGTGTGAGGAGCAGGGGGAGGGGCTGGAAACAGAAACAAAATGAAAAAAAAAAGGGGGGGGTGGGAGGGAAAGAAAAATTATATTTTTGTAAAAAGGGAAAAAAGACCTCGTGGAGAATTTTTACTGGGGATTCTTGAACTTGAAAAAAAAACAAAAAAAAGACAAAAAAAAAAAAGAAAATATTTTGACAGGCTATGTTTACCAACTGGGGCAAAGACAGGGAGCAGGGTTTAGGGGCTGGGAGGGGGCCACAGGGCCACACAGAAAAACATGCAGGGGCACACACTCACACCCCACAGGAACACACAGCAGCACTGACAGACCCAGAGGCACGCCCCAGACACGTTTAGGAACTCGACCAAACTCAGACACGTGGACAAACATGGATAAAACACAGGAAACTGAAGCATGGGACCACGTAAATGTGGCAGAGGTAGAACATGGACATGGACAAACGTGGACACAAGCAGGCGTGGACATGCAAACATTTTCATGCATATACATGGAGACATGAAAGTGGAGACATACATTTGGACATACAATTCTAGACACCCAGTCATGGAGAAACAGAGACACAACACCCAGGAACACACAGACATGCCCATAGCATCCCTCAGGCCCAGGTGAGAGGTCCCAACCCAGGCCCCCACCCAGTCTGCTTCCTTTAGCCAGGCCAGCCCGACCCCTCCTCCGGGCACTTGGCCCTAGTCGCCCCTGCCCCGGGTTCTCTGCAGAGCTCTCTCCTGGCTCATCAGTGGTCCCTGCCGCCCAAGAACACAGGTGTGCACACACAGCGTCCATGCATCCAGACACACACGATACCTCGTTCACTTTTGGCGTCATGGTGGGCTGGAGGCAGCACCCCCCCCCCCAACACTTGAGGCCAAAGGACTCCCTGCCCCTGGGACTGAGCCTCCCCTGGGCCCAGGCCCTGGCCCACAATACCGAGGGGGAGGTGGGGCCCTGAGCCTCCCCCAATCCAGGGCCTTCCTGGCAGCAATCACCTGCCGCTCCCCACCAGGCCCAGGGTGGACGGCCCGGGGCCCAGCCCCGCATTCCCTTCCTGTCCACTTGTCACCCCCTTTCAGTTTGTTGGGTTTTTCCGTCTTTCCAGATGAGTGAGGGCAGTGGACGCAGCCTCCATCCCCAGCCCCAGCCCTGGCTTCTGTCTGGACTTTCCATCCCCCTAGTTTTCATTCTTTGTAACGAAAAATTCCCACAGAAGCCAAAGGCCGGAGCCCCTGGGAGCCCTCGCAGCCCCCCACCCCCTGCAGCGGGCCCAGTCAGAACTGAGAATCGCAAACCCCAATTTTAGATTCAGTTGACCTTCCTCCAGTGTCCCTGCTTTGGTGTCCGGCCATGGCCCCATCTGACTGCCCAGCTCTCTCTCCCCGACCCCTCCCCGGTGTTTGTTATTAAACGTCTGTGGAGCTTCTGCTGCAAGGAACAAAAAGAAAAAAAAAAATCAAAAAAGCAACAAAAAAACAAATAGAAGAGGAAAAAAGCAACAAAAAAAGGAAGAAAAAAAACACACAGAAGAGATTTAAAAAAAAAAAAAAAAAGGAAAAAAAAAACCAGACATAAACTGGCACCAGTTAACTTTCTTGTACTTTTTTGCCGAATTTAGCTTCTTGTAGTTTTAACTTATTGCTATGTTAACTATTTATTCTTGTTGCCCTGTAAGGACATTTGTGTATATTTCTGTTCCTTCATCCAGTTTGCAAGTTTAAAGGAACCACGATGTTCTGTTTCTTTACGTTTTGCCGAGATGTGGTTATGCCTAATTTATTTATAAAAGGGGAAGTGGAATCATTAAAGTAATAATAATTATTAATAACAGTAACGGTAGCCGAGTGGCAGCGGGGGCACATGCGCTTTGCGGGGCAGTCCCCCACGTAGCCAGCGACGTCCGGGTCTCAATGGGATTATTTTTTGCTCGTCTTGAGAATTTTTTCAGTCCTATTTAGCTGGTGAAAACCCTAGCTTGTTCTTGATACACCAACCTATTTATTCTTGTGGTTTTTAAGTCCTCCCTGATCTCTCCACTCCCCTCCAGCAGGGCAGGCCCCCCAGCGGGTCCCTCCCTCTCCCTCTGCTGTTTCTTGGGGCTTTCTCCCCTCTGCCCTCCTTGCACGCGGGGACACGTGTGCACACGTGGGCAGCGTGCTGGGGGCATCTGTGAGCAATAAGGGCTGGGTTTGTCCCCCACCATGGGGGGGACTGGGCTCTGGAGAGGGGTCACCACCCCACACCCCCTACTGAGGCCTAGGCCCCTGCCACCCCCAAGACTGGGAGGGCACTTCTTTTTCTAAAACACAGAACTCAGCCCAGCCAGCCAGGCCCCCTCCAGGGAGGCCAGCCCCTCACCCCAGAGGAGGGGCCTGGGGTCTTCCACCTCCCTGGGGGCAGGGGCAGGGCCCGTGGGGAGGGGACTCAGCCCCTCCAGCCCTCCCTTCATCCTGTTATTTATTCGGAAGGTTTCACATCATGACAGAGTCCATATGTTGGAGGTGATAAAGAACTGTAAAAAAAAAAAGACCAAAAAAAAAAAAAAAAAAAAAAAAAAAAAAAAAAACCCCAAAAAAAAAAACCCAACAAGAACACTTTGCGTTGCATTTAGACTATTTATTACCGGATTATAGGCCTGGCCGCGGTAACAGACTTTTACATGGAATTGTTTAATTATTTGTACTTTTCATGCCAGAAAATAAAAGTTCAGAATCTTATGGCCTGTTGGGTGTTTGTACACCAGAAAGCGAGCTGTGGTGGAGTGTGTGCTGTTGGCCCTGGCTGTGTGGACTTGCACAGACCGCTGTCCCTCTCTGGGCCTAGGCCTCATCTCAAGTTCCTTGGCCTACCCGCAGCACAGTTGACACTGGGAGGGTGGGAGACCTGCTCAGGCGGAAATCCAGGGTCCCCTGGTGCCAGACTTTGCTGTTCTGTGGGCATCACAGGTGTGAATCATCTCAGGTGTGACTCAGGCCCTGTGTAGCTGGCCTGATGGGGGAGGCCAGCCCAGCATCTACAGAAAGCTGCTACCCCATCTGTTCTGCCCTCTGCCACCCTTGGCCCATTTCACATCTGACAAAGCAAGACAGACACAGATGGGTTGGGAGGGTCATTTATTTTTGAGGTCACAGTCAATTCACTGTCCCCATCAGGAGGGGAGGCAGATGCCCTGGGTAGGGGGTTCAGGGCAGAGTGGGCAATAAACCACCAGGCTGGGGGCCTGCGGAGGGTGCGCTCCTTTAGTCCATCTTTGGGGAATACCAGGGCCTGGGAACATGGCTCTGTCACGCCTGGTCCCCCAAGAGCAGGGGGCCTTCTCACGGTTCCTGCCCCCCGTGGGAAGGGCAAGGAAACCCAGAGGGGCAGGTCTTGGTCCACAGATTGTGGGGTGGGTGGGCAGCACGGCTGGGGGCTGGTTCCATGTCTTGAAGTTCTGGGGCCAGAGAAAGACCCAATGAGAAAGAGACAAAGGGACACAGGTGAGGAAAGCAGTGGTGCTGGCCTGTTTTCCTTAGACCCCACTGCACCCCCAACCCAGGCAGGCAGAAACCCACCTCCGTGCCCAACAGGGCTAGAGTTCATCGTGGTCGCCATCCACAGGCAGTTCAGGGGGCGGCTCCGGGCAGGCGGCCGGTGTCATCAGCTCCATGAGGTACTCGCAGCGACTGGGCTCCATGGTGCTGGTCACAACTGTCTCCTTCCCACACAGCAAGCGCACCTGGGGAGGGTGGGCGGGAGGTGGGGGCTCAGGCGGGCTCAGCCGCGCCTGGGTCGCCAACACCGCCCCCCACACGGTTCACTCACAGTGGTGGAGCGGCTGGGGCCCTGCCAGCAGCCCGTACCCTGCTCATACTTCATGGCGCTGAACTTGTCGTGCTCAGGACCGGCCCAGGCACCCCAGGTGCTGCAGGAGAGTGGGGTGCGGAGGGTGGGCCGGCTGGGAGCTGGGGTGGCTGGGGGTGGAACGGGGGAGGGGAGCCCGGCCTGAGACTACTCACCCGAGGCTGGTGGGGGAGCCGCCGAGCTTGGGTTTCTGTGAGACAAGCTTGAAGGGGCAGAGCCTATAGATGTACCTGTCACGGGATAGGGCTGGTGGGCAGGGGGACACAGGACGCCAGCCACCCTGATGGTCCTAAACATGGGGGTGGGCATACACAGGCCCCTCGAACTCCACTGACTGCCCCTAAAGCCACCTCCCTTACTCCCCGTGACCTTGCTCAGGCTTGGACCCTCCGAGTCCACCGCCCACCTGCCCTTGGCGGGGTAACGCACTCATTGGTGGTGAGCTCGTAGCACTGGCTATACAGGTAGGCGAACTCCCCATTGGGACCAAAATCAAAGGAAATCTCCTGCTCCAGGTTCCTAGAAAAGACGGCAAGTGGTGAAGGGGCAGCTGGAGCAGCACATCACCACAGACCGACTCAGGACAACGCGGAAGGTCCTATGACCCATGGTGGACGAATGCATGGGGGATGGGCTCTGGCTCCCCGCCGCATGGGGACCTCAGGAACCACTGCCACCTCTTTGCCTCGGTGACAGCGGTTGCCTCAGCAACTCCCCATTACACCTCCTCTGGGGAGCTGGGCAGCAGGCAGCTGTGGGGCAGGTGGAGATGCTGCCCTGCTGTGGCCAGACCCACACTCCCATACCTAATGGACTCCTCCATGTCCCTCAAGGACCGCTCGGCCTCCTCAAACTTGTTGCGGGCCTCCTGGGCGGCTGCAGGGGCAGAGGAGGAAGTCAGAGGCACTCCTACCCTCATCCAGGGAGAGGGGAAGGGGGTGCCCGGACACACCTGCGTCCCCACCCCCCAGGCCTGCTCTGGGTGACACTGGGCACAGGAAGGCCCTGCCAGCCACAGGGCAGACCCCAGCCCACTGCCCAGGCTCTCAGCTCCCAAGGGAACAGGGCCAGGGCTCCCCACCTGAGAGGAGGGCACAAGCGAGCGGCAGCCTCTAAGGAGGCAGGAGGGCCCCTGGAGCTGATGGGGGTGGAGCCAGCCTCCCCGAGCCTCAGCCCCCCAGTCTTGCTCAAGGAGCAGGTGGGGACTGGTTCACGGTAGGTACAGGCGATGGGGGAGGCAGGTATGGGCAGCGCCCCTCCCTCCCAGGCCCAGTGAGCCCTCACCGTCAATGAAGGCCTGTGTCTGCTCGTCGTAGGGTGGCATTTTGTCCTCCTCGGTGGTGCTGGCCGGCTGCGGGGGCATGAGTGGGGGTGGGGCCTCCTGGGGAACGGGCAATCAGCAAGTGACCCAGCCCCCGGCCCCCCGTACGCCCTTCTTCCCCAGGCACACACCTTGGGCTGCTCCCCCTGCGCCTGGGAGTCCTCCTCCTCCTCCTCCTCCTCCTCCTCCTCAGCCTCCTCTTCCTCCTCCTCCTCCTCCTCTTCCGTGGGCAGTGAGGGAACCGGGGGCTGCTCCTCCTTGAGCTCCGTCAGGTCAGGAGCAGAAGGCACAGGCGAATCCGTGGGTAGCGCCTGACAGGCATGTGGGGTGCTCAGTGCTGAGGACTTGGGAGTCCGCCCCCTACCCCATGGCACCGGGTCCATGCTGAGACCGTTGCGCCAGAGGCGGCCTCAGTGTCTCTGGCCCTTCCAAGAAGCCTGGAGGGAGGGACTGACAGCTGGGGGGTGGGGGGTCTAAGGCAGCCCAGCTGGCCAGGGTGGCCCAGCGCCAGAACTGGAGGCAGTTCCTTTGTGAGGCATCAGGGGGCGGGGCGGGGGTGCAGGACCACATCACCTCCCCTCCCCCACTGACCTCAGACTGATACTTGTCCCTGATGGCAGCCCAGACTCGGTCATGGAAGGTGGTGGCATCCATCTGCATGTCTCCCCCTAGCAGGGTCTGTGTGCATTTGTTGGGGTACTGTCAGGATCAGGGCTTCCGGGTGCCCCTACTGTGCCCAGGCACTTGCAAGGTGGGCCTCAGGCTGTGGTGCCAGGCACAAGCCCTGGACACAAGGCCACACCTGGGCCAGACTGGGTGAGGTGCAGCAGCCAGAAGGGGGCAGCACAGGCCAACAGAAAGAGGAGCGCCCCCACTCTGGGGCTGCGGGAGGGGGACTACTGGAGAGACTAGGGAGAGTGAGAGAGAGCGAGCGGGAGAGGCCATGAGCACCAGGAAGGGACCCGGCAGAGGCCAGCAATGGACAGCAGGATGGAGAAGCCGGGTGCAGACTGCGCAGAGACGGGGCGCCAAAGGCCTCACACTCATGGGAGCTGGTCAGGGCACGTGGACGGGAAACCTGGCTCTGTCGCAACCACCCTATGGCTCCCATGTGACCCCATTAGGTCCCAAAGGGCAGGGAGAACTGGTGCTGGGTAGTTGCCTTCCTGGCTCCCCAGGCAATGCCAGGCCACATCAGCCATGCTGGGTGCCCCAGCAGCCCTGGCCCAGGGCCAGCAGGGAACTTTCCCCGGGAACAGCCCACAGCCAGCCTGTCTCCCGTCCCAGGCACTGAAGTCACCTGGGGCAATCCCCTCTAGGAGTCCCAGGCCAAGGGGCAGGGTGGGTACCTGGGCTTCCCCTTCTGATAGTGCCCCATCCCCATCAGTGTCCAGCTCTGGGTGGGTTTGCAGCTCGGCCACCGAGACCCTGCAAGGACACAGGCAGAGGCCAAGAGAGGCCAAGTGAGCCTCAGAAAGTGGGGAGGGGAGCTCTAGGGTTGGGGCCCCCTCCAGCCTCCACCCTTGGGAAGAATAGGTCCCAGCCACCCAGTCCCCTGCCTCTTACACCAGCCTTAAGTCTCCACAACACTGAAGGCGCTCAGAGGAGGGACAGGGACAGGGGTGGGATTAGGAGACACCTGGATCCCGTGTCCCCCAAGACCCCTCTCTTCCTGACCCACCAGCAGCATCCATTTCCTTCCACCCTCAGCACCCAATATATCCAAATTGCCCTCTGACTGGCGCCCTCCACTCAGCGGACCCCAAGTACCCATGAAGGCCTGGGCACCACATCCTGTCCCCCCACCCATCACCACTGCCAACCAGGAAAGGATATGCCCTGCCCATTCTGCCCTCTTGGTTCCTCTGAAGTCCCCTGCTCCTTGCTGGGGTGCCTGCCCAGCCTCCTTGTTCCCAATACCCACCCTCCACTGAGCCATTTGCCTGGAGTCAGCCAGCAAGTTCAGGGGCACAGCTGAAGGGTCTGGTTTTGACCAGAGTAGGCTTGGAAACAGTAATGGGATCCCTCGTCACCTCGCTCAGTTCCCCTCATCTCCTCCCCCAACCCCAGCCTGTTCTGGACCCATTTTACACATAAGTAAGTAGCGACTCACTCAGAGAGGGGTTGGGACCAGCTCAGGCCCCACGGTGAGAAGGTGGGGGGCTGGCTGGTTTCTAAAGGTGATTGGGTGGGAGGAAGGGGTCCCAGGGCAAGGCAGGCATACTCACACCCCGTCCATGTCGTCGTCCAGCTCCTGAAAGGCACTGGTCGCCAGCTCCTGCTCCTGCTGGGCCTTGGAGGCGGCCTGCTGCTCTGTGAAGGGGCCAGCTTTGTCACCCTCTGCCCTGCCCGCTGGTTCCCACCACCCTGAAATCTGCTCTCCCCCAACACCAGCTCTGTGCCTGGCCCTATGCTGGGCAGAGGGGCCCTGAGTCAGGCCACTGTGTGGGACAGACTGGGGGCAGGAGCCAGGCGATGACAAGAGCTGGCCAGGGCGGCGGCGGGGGCAGGGGAGGAGACGAGTAGTGCCAGGCTGTGGGGAGACTGAAGGGAGAGCTGACAGGTCTGCAGATGGGTCAATGTGAGGGATGATTGAGGACACTCCTGGGACTTTGGTTTCAACAAGTGGAGGCTAGCAGAGACCATGTGAGAGGAGGGTGGGGCTGCATGTCCAGGAGGCCCCCACAAGGGGCCCAGCACCCCACCAGGCTCTTTCCAACATGAAGATCAGGGAACAGAGACAAGGGTGGACGTACGGCCAGGCAAGGGGGGTAACCTGGTGAGTCTGGGGTCCCTGTGGGACATTTAGAGGCAGGTCCATTCAGGTACAGCTTCATTTGTGGGTAGGGAACCAGAGCAGAGGTCAGGGTCAGGGTCCTAGCCCACAAGAGGCACCGGGGTCTTGGGCCCACTGAGCAGGAGAGTGTGGGCCACCAGGAAGGGCAGGAAAACCATCCTTGTGGAGCAGTGTGGCTTCTATGAAGGTGGTGAAGGAAAGCTCAGACTTAAGAAACAGGAAATTCAAGCCTCAGGAACCAGGACACAGAGTATAGGAAGCAGGTTCAATCCGGACGAAGAGGCTACATGGCTTCACAGCATTGGAGGGGAAGGCTGGGCTTGGGGACAAATGTTTGGGCAACAGAGGTCTGAGCGTATTGCTAGGCCGAGGGAAGGTGCCAGCCACAGAAGACCACCCAGGAAAGGGGAGAAAACTGAAGGCCCAGTGTCTCTAAGAAGCAGGAGATGGTGGAAGCCAGGGTGTGGGGGCAGACATGGCCTCCACTGAGGAAAGAAGGAAGAAGGGAACCCTTGCAGGCACTTCCACCCAACGACCCTGTGTGATTCTGGACAGGGAGCCTCTTTGGAGTCAGCTCCTCCCAGGTTTCCTGGCTTCCCGTTCCTCCTCTGCTCTGAATCCTCTATGGCTCCCACCTCACTTGGAGTAAAAGTGCAAACAAGTCTCCCCATAGCCCCTAAGGCCCTGCCCATCAGCACCTGCCCTTGTCTCCCCCGACTCTCCTCGCTCACTCCTTCCAGCCACACAGCTGCCTTGCTTCTCCTTAAAAATCAGACATGATACTGCCTCAGGGCCTTTGCATCTGCTCCCTGTGCAGGCAGGGGATTTCTCCATCTGCTTCAATGCTGTATTGCTGGTACCTGGGGTGTGCCTGGCACATAGCAGGCACTCAGCAAATGCTTGTTGGATGAACTACTGAATTATTGATTATGAGAAATTAAGGCAGAGAGAGAGAGGGAAGGAAGAATGCGGCAGATGCCAGAGAGACAGAAGAGATCAGCAGCGTGGCCTCAGAGGTAGGCTTGCCTGGTTCCTGGTTATCAGCCACATGTGCAGCTGGGGCCACACCTCTAACTCCTTCCTGCAACGCTTTGTCCTTTAACTAGTCTGGAGTAGAAGGCTTCTTTATCCCCCACCTGCCCCTTCTATCCTGCTTCCGTGGTGTGTTCCCCAAAGGAGCAGACTGAGAATGAGGACCAAGGCTTCCAATTTCCCGTAATACTTGCATGACCTGCCAACAGCAAGAAAATGCTGGACACAGCATAAAAAATCATCTTAAAACTAACCAAGGGGCCGGCCGAGTGGTGCGTTGGTTAACAACTGGCTTGGGACGCCAGAGGGCCCCGGTTCGGATCCCACATATGAGGGCCAGTGACACTGCCCTCTACAGCTAAGATGCTGAACAACAGCTCGACCTGGAGCTGGGCTGCCGTGAGGTGACAGCGACGGCATAGGCTGCAGTCCCTGCTGCAGTGGGCTGCCATAAGCTACCATGTGTAGCCGGAAGCCAGCGTGAGCAGCCGTCCAGAAGCTGGCGACTGATCTGCCTCGCCTGGGAAGAGCTCAATGACGGTGCCAACTTGGGCCAGTGAAGCAACATCCTCCACAACTAGACTGAAGAACAAAAACAACAAAAAAAACCCCAGCAACTTGTCTGTTCCCCTTCCCCCGATTCCCCAATAAAATCTTAAAAAAAAAAAAACTAACCAAGGCAGTAGAAATTGCCAGGGGAAAGAGGCATTTGGGAAGGTAAGAGATGCAGAAGCAGGTTTTGCCCTAAAGGACCTTGCCAATCCTGGCAAATTTGGATGTCTGTTTTGATAAGAACTTGTTGGGCCAAGGAGACAGAAATCAAACTCCAAGGTGGGAGCATAATAGCAGACACCCCACACACACACTCCAAATAACGACACTGTGACCCCAGAGGGCTACCTCAGGGAGAGAGAGGCTGGATTGGAAATTACCCAGCCTGCACTCAGATCTCGGCTCACACTGCCTGAGAGGTTGGAGAAACGTCCAACCTGAATCCAAATTGGGGGTCCCTAAATGGTTAAGCGTTCCCACACGGCTGGCAAAAAGAAAAGCCCTTCCTCTCTAGACAAGGACCTCTCATCCTAGGCTACAAGTTATTCCCACAACTGACTGTCAAATATGATGATCAACACACAGTCCAAGATAACTAGGCACATGGGGAACTGAGGCATCATGATCAAGTCAGCAGAGAAAACAAATAGGTGATGAGCGAGTCTTCTGGGCCCAGGCTCTTCCTGGCCAGGATGCAAGGGCGGGTGAGTCCTGGCCACCCAGAAACATACCTTCCCACAGCTTCTGGTGCTGGTCTTTGGCCTCCTTCTCTGGCTTCTCAGCCTCCTCCTTCACCATCCGCAGCATCTCCACCTGCTCCTCCAGGGACTTCTTTCTGGTCTGTAGCTCAATGAGCTTTTGCTGGGTGGGCAGAAGGCAAGGGGCCAGTCTCCTCCTGTTCTGCCTTCCTCCTCACGAACATCCACCTCCCTGCCTCTACTTCACATGGCAACTGCAGGGTCTTTCCAAAACACACAGCCCACTGATTCCCCCCGCAGCCCACTGGAGAAAAACCCAAACACCTCAATGTGGTCCCTAGGCCCCGTGTGACCAGTCCCCTGCTGCCTCTCTAGCCCCGTCTGCCCCTCTGCTATCTAAAACTCTAGACCCAACTGTACAACATTCAGACCTCCAAAAGCTCTCTGCCTCCAGTTCTTCACACATGCTTTCCTTCTGTCTGGAACACTGCCTGGCTATCTCTGAATTACCTTACAGATTTCAGCTTAGATAGAGGCCTCCTCCTCCAGGAAGTCTTCCCTGCTTGCTTCCCTCAAGACGATTGGGGATTGGGGGAAGGAAGGGAACCAGGCAAGTCTCCTCTATGTACCACAGCCCCAAATTTCCCTTTTCCCAGCAGCCTTGGGCATCACCTTCTGTTTGTCTGTCCCTCCCACTAGACAGTGTACCCTTCAGGCAGTTCCTGGTCTACTTCTAGCCTCATGCTCAGTGGGCCTCATGCCCAGTGTGAAATGTCCACATCCTGGGCCTCTGTGGACATTTCAAGAAGGAACAAGTATGCTGGGCAGGTTTCAGCCTAGGAATGGGGTCCCAAGCTGTAGGGTCTTAGTCTAGGCCCTCACAGGATCACTTTCCTCCCAACACCTCAGCCTGGCCTACTGCCAGGATCCTCCCCCAGGCAAAGGTCACTTGGAGACAACCTCGCCACATGGCTCCACCACCATTCCCTAAACTTGGGAAGGAGCTCACTGCCCCATTAATTTGAAAGAGACCTCACTAGCCCAGCCATGGGGATGGGAGAAGACCTGGAACCTTCCCTGGGCAGAGAAACAGAGCTGGAACACTTGCTCAGTAGGTCGAGCAGAAGCCCAGGAGCAGTATTGAGGTCTCTGAACCATGAAGTGGCCATGGGGGTGGCAGGCAGGGAAGGGAGATACACAGTTGGGGATGTACCCTCTTCTGACCCACAAAGCATCCACCCTATTGAATTAACCCAGTTGCTGCTGACGGACACGGTCTTGAGTCCTCCTCCAGAACAGAGAAGCCAGTCATCAGCCCCATCATACAGACACCAGAACCACGGCCCAGGATGCAGCAAGGCGTCACTCCTATTCTAGGAGGCAGCAGAGCTCCTCGCAGCCCACGGTCTGCCACCCAAGGCCCCGGTAAACACCTGTGCTGACCACTGTCCACTTGGTAACGGCTTAACCAATGACTAAATGCCCAGTGCACAAATGAGTAAACCAAGGCGCAGGCAGACAGTAACCGGCCCCAGGAGCAGGCATCAACCCTACCCAGCCTCGCCAGCTCATGCCTCCAGACCTCCTCAGGGCCCAGATTGTCCTGAGTCAGCCTCATGGGTCCCTCACCTGTTTCTCCTCCCGGGCCTTCTTCCAGTCCTCAATAAGGATCTTTTTCAGGCGGAACCCCTCACGCGTAACCTCTGCCATCTGCTGCAATGTCTCTCTCTCCTTACGGCCCTTCTCTCTGGGGTGGGGGGCACACACAGGCAGCACAAGGGGGCACTTAGGACCCATCAGATCTGCCTCTTCCAAAAGGGCTCAACCCCACCTGCTGCTCCCATGTTGGGGAAGGTAAAAGAGCAAACCCTCCTCCCCTACCTCCCCAGGCTCTCTAGGCCTCGGAGCCCCGCACCCCCATTCTTGTGAGGAGGAACAGTGCGCAAGTTTCACCCATCCTTGGGGTCAAGAGAGGGACTAGATAGTGCTGGGATGTGGGGCTGGAAATTGGCTCCCAAGAGAGAAAGGAGAGAAAAGCCCAGAAATCAGACTCCCGGACAATCTGGCCAGTAAGCATGTTGTGCAGGATCCACTCTCTACTTAAATAAAAGATCTTCGCTCAGGAGAGAATTATCAGGACTTTTGGTTTTGTTGAAAAACGAATCAGGCCCTGTTACCTGCCATCAACTAACAGGAGTCAAGGGCAGCTGTCCCTTTAGATGCCTCTTTCTCCACCATTCCCCACTGCCTTATACTCAGCCTGCTTCTGCCATTTAGATTACCTGCCTGTGGGCATTTCAGGTTTCAGGTCCTGTTGCAGAGCATAGCAATTAAAAGCATGGAGTCTCAAATTAGACCGACCTGGGCTCTGCTGTCTCCGAGCTACATGACCCTGAGGAAGTCATTTTCCTTTCTAAACTTGAGCTTCCTCACCTGTTGAATGGGCAAATGACTGCAATTGCGTCTGGGCCAGAGGGAAAACTGGTGATGGAGCATTCACTAGGCACCTGGCACAGAGTGAGTGCTCAATACTCAAAAGCAGAAAAGAGAGGGGACCTTATTCACTGGGCAAGGCAAGGTCCTGGAGGGGTGGATGGCACCCACGTACTTGCAGGTATTCTCACAGACGATCCCACTATTGTACTCGTCCGTCCCGTCGCAGCAGTCTGAGGGCAGAGGTGGGGGTGTTAGCAGACCTGGCAGTGCCTCCTCCCTCCACCCATTCCTTTTCCCCTAACCCCAGTGGGATCTCATTTACCACAAACTCCATCATTGACCCATCTGGATGAGATGTACAGGGGCTTGTAGCCTGTGTTGGTGCAGTGGAAGCTGCCGTTGGGACAGGCGGCCGTGCCTGTGGGAAAGAAGGGAGACAAAGTTTTCAGGGTGTGTTCAGAGCCTGACATGTCACATCCACCTAGACAGATCCCCGCCCGCCCCCAGACATCCTTGCACACAGAGAGCACAACAAACATAAAAACAAACATTTCTGAGTAAAGGAAGGAGACAGCTGCACACTCAGGGCCTGAAACAAAACTCTCCAGTGCTTCCTGCTGCCTTTCCTCACCAATACCCTCAGAAGAGGACCACCAACTCCTCCCTCCCTTGCCTTCACCTCAGTCTCTTGTCTGCCCTTTGGCCTTCTCCCATCTCTGGATTCTTGCACATGCTGGCCTCTCCATTTGCAGCACACTTCAGGGTGCAGCTGAGACCTCACCTCCTGATCCCCAGACTGGGTGGGGGCCTTTTGGGGCTCCCACAGCTCCTGTGGCTCTCCTCACCAAACCACTGACCACGGGCTTCTGTGCCTGCTTTCCCCACTCAACAAGGAGTGGGACTGGGTCTGTCTTGGTCACCACAGGGCCAAGAATTCACCAGGTGCTCAATAAATGTATGATAAATGAATGAAGGAAAAACTCACCTGGCTCATCTGAGCCATCCTTGCAGTCACAGTAGTCATCATTGACCTGATCGAAAGGGATGGTGGCCGAGCTGTCCAGGCAAGTGAAAGGCTTGGACTCATCATAGAAGTGAATGTCTGGGGAGGCAAGAAAGGACTCAGTCAGGGCAGGAAGAGGCCCTCTGAACCTAATAGCACCTCTGCCTCCACTCATCAGCTGAGCACTGCCACCTTTCCTACCCAGAGGAGGGGAAACTGAGGCAAAAGGCTATAAAATGCCTAGCCCAAGTCGGCCCCTCCCACACCCTACCCCGATCATCCAGCGGCGGACTTACTGGTGAGGGAGACGCCGCGGGGCCGCTTGACCTCCACGGCCCAGCACACGGGGAGCAGCAGCAGTAACAGTAACATCTTGCCGGAGGTTCGGAGGCGGGAAAAGTGTTCTGTGGGAGGAAGCAGGCTGCGGGGAGATGCGCTGTGCTCCAACACTGCAAGAAAGGGGCGGGAGGTCAGTGGCAGAGGGCTACTATCAGCTAAAAGAAAGCACCTCTTCCTCCTGCCAACAGGATTCCTCCATCGCTTCCGTGCAATGGGGCTCATGGGGAAAGATATGGGAGGGAGTCTCCCCAATTCTTTTCAATGGTGGGGATCTCAAAACCTCCGCTCTCCACTGACGGGGCGGGGGGATGAGCTAGCCAATTCCCGCCAATAGGCCGAAGGGGTTAACAGCCTCCTCCTCTCCCGACACATATCCTCAGGCCAACCACCAAGAGGAAATTGGGGTGCCCTACCGCCCTCTAATTAATCACCTACAAAAGGCCGGGGCAAAGGCCAATATCCACCGCGCCCCCCTAGCCCAGCAGCCAACGGTTCCTTCTGCAGAAAGAAAGCGGAAATGTGCGGGCTGCGTCACTTCCGGCACCTCGACGCGCACCTGGGACGGAGGTTCAACGACGCCATGTTGGGAGTGACAAGTGAGGCTGCCGGAACCTAGACAGCCATCTTGGATAGGACTGTGAAGCCTTAGAAGAGATAGTTCTGAAGGTTCGCGCTTAATGGCGGCGCAAGGCGCCTCCATCTTGGGAGTGGCAGGTATGCAGTCGCAAAAGAAAGTTCCTGAAAAATGCCCGCGAATCCCGGGCGGGGTTGAGGGAGAAGAGGACATGGGATGAGCACGTGACGCCGAACTAGACCTACCCCAACATTCTGCTCCGCGACTCCGCCCTGTCCTCTGTTGGGACCGCCCCTCCATGCAGCATCAGCCAATGAGAGCAGTGGTGCATAACGCGGGCGGTTTCCATGGGAGCGCTGGAAGGAGGAGGGGAGGAGGTTACCTAGCAACCGGGAGATGCTGCGAGGCCCCGCCAAGCGGTCGGAAAGTGCATTTCCATTGCCGGAGGAACCCGAGCTGAGAGATCCCGGACCGAGCGATTTCTACTCGCCCACCTAAACCTCAGGTGTCTTTGGCCCCAACCCAGTCATGACGTCTCCCCTGTGCAGGGCGGCCTCCACCAACGCCCTGGCTTCTCAGGACCAGATTTCGGCCTCTTCCAAGACCAAGGGCCGTCAGTCTCAGGCCAAGCGCGGCCAGCCTAGAGGCAAGGGCACGGCACATGCCTGGCCCTCACTCCATTCCAAGAAGGGACCCGGCTCTGCCAGCCGGGGGAGGTCTGCTGTGCACACGCAGGTGGCTGAGTTACAAAGGAAGATACAACTCTTAGGTAAGATGGCTCCAAAGGGCATAGAAGGGTCAGGAGTCAACAATGTCCACCCAGCCCTCTGGCTAGGCATGGTGTGACAAGGATGTTTCACCAGTATTCATCCAGGTGGCCAGTTTCTGGATGCAAAAAATCATACTTGTTCATGGTTTTCCTCATCTCATAAAACTTTTCCAGGGCTCAGAGCCAACTGGACTGTATTTCATACTTTTATGTAATATCAACTCTTCTGTTATGCATGGTGTGATGAAGAATATAGGTTTCAGAGCCAGATTTTCTGGGTTCAAAGCCTGGCTCTGTATATACTAATTGTTTGACCTTGGGGAACTAAGAGTAATCTAATTGCTCTGTTTCTCCATCTGTAAAATGGGGATAACAGTACAACCCTATAGGTAGTTGAAATGTGTTAAATGCTTAGAGCAGTGTCTGGCACATAGTAATGCATTACAAAGTGCAAACTAGTGGTTCTCAATGGAAGAGGGCCATTTTGCTCCCCAGGGGACATTTGGCAATGTCTGGAGACATTTTTGGCTGTCATATTATTGGGGGACGGTGCTACTGGCATCATAGAGGGTGGAGGCCACAGATGCTGCTCAGCGTCAGACAATGCACAGGACTGCTCACCAGAGGAAATAATTGTCCGTCCCAAATGTCCCAAATGTCCATCATGCCAAGGTTAGGAAATACTGGTATAAACCATTATTTTTATTGTTTTATTATTAAAAGGCAATCTTTTTTTTTTTTTAAGATTTTACTGGGGAATTGGGGAAGGGGAACAGGCAAGTTGTTGTCCTTCAGTGTTAATTGTGGAGGGCACAGCTAGCTCAGCTCCAAGTCCAGTTGCCATCCGGCCACCCATCGGCAGCTTGCAGCCGTTCAGCTCGAGGTGCCGTGTTCAATCTTAGTTGTGGATGGGCATAGCCTACCATCCCATTGGAGATTAAAACCAGCAACCTTGTTGTTAGGAGCATGTGCTCTCACCAGCTGAGCCATCCGGCCACCTGTTGGCAGCTCAGCAGCAGTTCAGCTCGGGCGCAGCTCACTGGCCCATGTGGGAATCGAACCAGTGAAATTGTTGCTCGGAGCTCATGTTATTAACCAACTGAGCCACTTGGCCGGCCCTAGGAGGCAATCTTGCTTAGTGGTTGAAGATATGGGCTCAGGAGTCAGACTGCTGTGACCTTGGACAATCTAATAAGCCTGAGCCTCAGTCTTCTCATCTATAAAATGGGTATGATATGGATATGGATGTGTACCTATTGGCATATGGTATTTGATACCTGGAATGTTTCTGGTCCAGCATCCAATACGTAATAAATGCTCAACGCGAAGTATTATTATAATATTGAGTTGATGATTACAAAAGGGTTCTTCCTCTGGGAAGTCCTCCCCAACCTCCACGATGCTCTGTTTGTGCCTGCCTACCTCACATGACCCCAGAGAGTGACCGGAAGGCCTTTTATGAGAGTACCCAGTGGAACATCAAAAAGAATCAGGAGACCATCAACCAGCTACGCGAGGAGACCAGGGTGCTGCAACTACAGCTGACGGACCTGCTCCAGGTGAGGGTATAGAAGTGGGTGAAGAGGTTCCAGGGGACACGGCCAGCATTCCCAGGTGCGGGGCACCACCTCAGGTAGATGTGGCCTGGATAAGTGGTGACTGGGCTCTCTGCTTGCAGGGAGATGAGAAAGTGGTCCAGGCAGTGATTCAGGAATGGAAGTCAGAGAAGCCATATCTGAAGAACAGGACAGGCCAGGTTTGTGCATCCCCACTCCACTAACCATCTCCTTTCATTTGCAACCTGAATCTCCTCCCCACTGGACTTCCTACCTCCTGTCCCTGCCTCTCTAATCCTTTCTCCACGCCAGCTGCCACTCATTTATTCACTCATTGAATCTTTATCATACACTGATCATGTGCCTGGTGTGGTATTAGGTGTTGGTGATTGTGCAGTGAAAAAAACAGACCAAGTCCCTACTTCCCAAAACCTTACATTTTAGTGGAGAAACAGACATAAAAACCTAATAATAAGAAATACAGAAACAAAGCAATTTCTAGTAGTGACAAGAGAAACAAAATAAAACAGAGTAACTGCCTAGAGATGGATAGGGACAGGGATTCACACTTTAGATTTGGGGTATGGAGGTCAGCAAAGACCCTTCTGTCTAAAAGGTGGTATTTGTGTTGAGAATGAGCCAGGCAGGAAATGATCTGGGGAAAAGCACTCCAGGCAGAGGGAACAGCAAATTCAGTGTCCCTGGGGTAGGAACAAGTGTAGTGTTGGAAACATAGGGGGTGGCCAGTGTGGCTGGATAGGAGTGAATGACAGGGGCTCAGTAAGAGGTGAGGTCAAGGTAGTCACCAGGGGCTGAATCTTGCACCAGGCTTGCTGGCCATGATGAAGAGTGCACATTTGATATGCAAGAGTGGAAGGAGGAGGTCATCCCGGTGAAAGATGGTGTTGGCTGCACTAAGATGAAAGTGCTGGAAATGGGAAGAAAGAGAGCTTTGGGGGAGCCTTTGAAAAAGAACACAGAATTGCAAACAAATTGGATGTAGGTGGGAGAGAAAAAGAGAAAATGAGGATGACATCAAGGTTTTGGACTTGAGCACCTGGAAGGATGGAGCTGCCATGAGCTGAGATAGGGAAGATTTGAGAAGGGCAGGTTTGGGGAAAGAGCAAGTGCTCCATTTTGGGCACGATGGTTTTGAGGTACCTCTGGAGACATCTGGAAGGCAGTATAGATATGGATATATGAGCCTGTAGTTGAGGAGAAGGCTAAATTTGGGTGTCTTCAGTGTATAGGTGACCTTTAAAACCCTGAGACTGGAAAGGATCACCATGAGGGTGGGTGTGGACAATGGAGAGAAGAGCCTGGGAGTGCGTCTTCAAAGGCAAAAAGACAAAGGTGCTGCCAGGGAGGTGGGTGGGAACCAGGGAATAGGCTTCTGGAAGTCACCAAAGAAAAAATCTGCAGGAGGGTCAGCCAGGTCAGATACTGCTAAGAGACAGAGAGATGGAGCCAAAATATGGGAGAAGGAAGGGAGGAAGGACTAGGGGGTGTTCAGGCCCCTGCTCTCGCTCCCCTCCTTCCAGCAGGCCCTGGAGTACCTGGACCACCAGCTGAGGGAGAAGGTGAACCAGCTCAATGCTCTGCGGCACCAAGTGGGGTTGCAGCAGAAGTGGCTGGAGGAGCTCCAGCTGCAGCACAACCTGCGTGAACTGGAGATGGCTGAGGTGCAAGATAGCAACACGGAGGTGGCTAAGGTGGGGCCGCTGAGGTGCAGAAGGTGGGAGTTGAGTGGAGAAAGGGGGACACTTGATCCTGGGGGAGGAGGAATTGAGCGGGTAGGGGACTCAGCACAGCCTTGCTTCCCTCTAGACCTTGCGGAACCTGGAGAACCGTTTGGAGAAGGCCCGCATGAAGGCAGAGGAGGCAGAACACATCACCAGTGTATACCTGCAGCTCAAAGCCTATCTACAGGTAGGGACCAGGACGGGTGAGGTGGGGAAGGCAAGTGGGAGGGCCAGCCTGGCCAGTCACAGGCCTGCCCCGCTCCCTATTCCCCTAGGAAGAGAGCCTTTGCTTGGAGAACCGTCTGGATTCCATGGAGGCTGAGGTGGTAAAGACAAAACACGAGCTTGAGGAACTGCATGTGGTGAAACAGGAGGCGCTCACCGCCCGGGACATCGCCAAGGTGCCAGCCCTCTGGTCCCTGGGGGTCCTGCCCAGGTGCCATGGTCTCCTGGCCCCAGGATCTGAACCCCAACTGTCCCCAACCCCTTCCCATCTATCTCCCAGGACCCTGCAGCCTGGCCCAGCTGTCCGAATTTGGGCTCTCAGCTCTGGCACTGAGCCACAATAGATGCCAGCTAGTCCTGCAGTTTTCCCATTTGCCCTCCAGAACCAGCTGCAGTATCTGGAAGAGACCATGTTCCGAGAGCGCAAGAAGCGCGAGCGCTACATATCGGAGTGCAAGAAGCGCGTGGAGGAGAGGAAACAGCAGAATGAACGCATGGAGCGCAAGGTGACGCACCCAGGGCGCCGGGACCAAGGCTCTGGCCGGCACTCGTGACCCTTACCTGGCCCCCAGACTGGGCCCCACCCCCTCCCTGACCCCTATCCTGATACCCTTTCCCAGCCTCTGCCCTAAGCCCTTATCAACAAAGTGACCCTGGCCCTTACCTCAACCTGGAGCAGACCCAGCGCGAGCATGTGCTGCTGCAGTCCGATGATACAACCCAGGATAGCCTACGCACCAAGGAGGAAGAGCTGTGGCGGCGCTGGAGCATGTACCAGATGGAGGTGCTCTTTGGCAAGGTCAAGGATGCCACTGGCGTGGCCGAATCACACGTGAGTGCTGCCCACAGCCCTCAGCACCCTGGATCAATTCCTCAGCACACAAACCTGTTCTCTTAAAAGACACCCCCTTCCTCCTCCAGCTACCGCTCCAATTCTCTGTTGCTTCTCACAGCAAAACCCAGCGAGCTGTCTACACTCGCCATCATTCCCTGTCCTTCGATTCACTCTTTGCACCAGTGTCACTGACTTCTTTGGCATATGGGCTCTGTGAGAACTGGGAGTTTTGTCTCTACTTTCCTGTGTCTCCATTGCCTGTAACATTGTGCGGGGCACAGTGGACTGCCCAGTGACACCCTCAGACCCGGGAAAGCAGAACCATTGCCCTTGGACCCACGCTTTGCATTGTTTTCCTCGAGATTTTCTGAGAACCTGTGCTGGGAAACACTGATATCCCTGGACCCCAGTCTGGTTTCTCCCCTTTGGGCACTCTCCAACCTGCCATTCTTCCCATGTGATGATCCCTGAGGAGTCCCAGGAATCAGACCTATGGGGCCATCTAGGGCACTGTGGCCAGTGGCCTTTACAGAAATTGGCCTGGTGGGCAGATCGCTCCCACCACAGGCCGTATTTCCTCACCAGATTGGGCGAGACTCACAGCCAGAATGTTGCCAGCACCTTGATTTTGGAAAGCAGCTATGGTCACTGCTACCCTGCCCAGCACGCTGATTTTTGACTGATTCAAATTCCTGATATAGAGATGGAAGGGCCTGCAAAAAATTTTTGTCCAAGGCTGTCCATCCTTGAGGCAGCCCTGAGTCTAACTCACAGGGTCCCTAAACATCACTGTGCAGAAGCCACCAGCTTAAGCCACCTGTGCTGAGTGCCCTGGGGGAGGGGAGACACGCGGGCCTGCCCAGGCCTTGGCTCTGACTGGGACTGGGTGGCTCTCAGGCTGTAGTACTGCGGTTCCTGGCGCAGGGCAACACCTTCACGCAGCTGGAGACGCTCAAGAGCAAAAATGAGCAGACCCTGCTCAAGCTGAAGCAAGAGAAGCAGCGGTTGCAGCGGGAGCTTGAAGACCTCAAGTACTCCGGGGAGGCCACTCTTGTGAGGTGAGGCAAGGCCCCGGTGCCCGAGGAGGAGGGTGGGGACCACAGGTCCGCGGAGCTCCCATGGCGACCTCCATGCTCCCTGCAGCGAACAGAAGCTGCAGGAAGAGTTGCAGGGGCACCTCAAGGAGGAGGAGCAGCGGCGGGCTGAGGCCCAGAGCCAGCTGGAGCGGGTCAAAAGGGCAATGCAAACGCTGAAGGAGGGCCTTGAACACCTGGCCGGCAAGCTGGACCAAGTCACAGTGGCTGGCCTCGCCCCCGAGGAAGCCCCACCTGAAACCTCCCAGGACTTAAGAGTCGGTGCAGACTCTCAGGTGGGATTCCTGCCCCGCAGCCCACTGAAGGGAACCCACCCCATGCCCTGTCCTGGACGTCAGAGGCCCACGTATAGGGGAGTCATTACCCCCACGTCTCCAGGGGCACTCCCTTACTTCTTAAGCGGCCCAAGACTTCAGAGATCCTGTCCTGCCTCAAGTCGCTGCCCCAGGGAAAAGTCCCACCTTGTCCCCTCACCCAAAACCTCAGAGATCCCACTGTAATCCTGGAACTGCCGGAGACAGGAGAAGCCCCGCCCTGACTGCAGCAAAATCCCGTTTCTTCAGGTCATCCTGCAATGGCCTCTCTCAAGTTATTACCCCTTCACCCCCCCCCCAAGAAAGACCTGCCCCCACTTCTTGTTCTGTGTCTTGAGCTCCAAGACTCTGCCCTCACAGGCGTGACCCTTGACTACGGAGGCCCCGCCCCACAGAAGTAGCACCACCCCTGTGGGTGACCCCTCACCTTCGAAGACCTGACCCCTGGGAGTAAAAGGCCCCCCCCCCTGCAGCCCCGGGTGGAACCTGCCCGAAGCCCCGCCCTCTCCCTGCTGACCAGACTCGGTTCCCAGCCGCAGGAAGCCAGCCGCTCTGTGGAGAAGGAGGTGGATCCCAAGACAAGTGACTATCTGCTGAACCTGCTGGGCTTCGTGGAGGAAAAGCTGCTGAAGCTGCAGGCGCAACTGGAGAGCCACAATGTGCCTGAGATGCTGCGCCACATCGCAGACCGCGAGGTGCCCATCCCAGTGGGCGGGGCTGAGGGAGCTGGGGCGGACACGAGGGAGCCCGGGAGAAGGGCGATGGGCCGGGAATGGGTCTTAGGGACAACGGGTGAAGTTTGATAAGCCAGGAGAACGTCCAGAAGGTCTGGGGAGGCCAGAGGGAAGGGCTGGGGGAGCCGGGGTAGAACCTCAAGAGGCCAAGGAGCAGGACCCCAGAGACCACGGGCGTGCCTGGAGGGGAACAAGGAGGTGGGGCTTGGGCATCAGAGTGAGCGCTAAGAACAAATGACGCCGCTGGGCCTGAGGAAAACTAAACCGGAGGAGTGAGCAGAGTATGGAATCAGGGTATATCTTGGAATGGGGTGGGAAGGAGGGGGAACAGGACTTCCTTGTAGCCCCTGCCCCGCCCACACTCGTCTCTCCCTCTCCCCTCTTCCACAGTTCTACTCCAGCTTAGAGGGAAAGCTACCCGCGTACAACACCCGCATCGCCCTGCCCCTTGCCCGTCCCAAGGACAAGTTCTTCGGTTAGTACTAGCAGGAAAAAGGGCGGGGCTGGGGGCCCAAGCGGAGCATCCGGAAGTGGTCGTGGGTGGTCAAGACTGGGCAGGGAAATCTGACCCCGGGATGGGGGAGCTTAAGCCCCTTATCACACATACACACACCCCGCAGATGAAGAGGAAACCGAAGACGAAGACGACGTAGTGACGCGCGCGGAGCTCAAGATCCGTTCCCAGAAATTAATTGAATCCCGCAGCAGGAGGCACAGACGCTCACGGAGGTCCTAGAGTCGTCCTCACACCCACCTGGCGCCTCTGGGCCACTGCGGAGCTCCAGATCCCTCTGGGCCCAGCCTCCAGCCCTCAGGGCCCCTTCAAGGACTGAACATAGACAGGACAAGGGCCAGCGGAGCCCTGAGTGGAGAATGGGGCTGGGCCTCTGGACGTTCCCACAGTAAATATCCCCAGGCGGCCTCGGAATCACGCAATAAAGGTCACCGACCAGCCCCCTGGGTATTCGCCTCTCCTTGACCCTGCACCGCCCCAAAGATGGCACCCCTCAAACCCAGAGCCACAGGCTCAGCCTCCTCTGACCTGAGGATTGATTACTCCCATAGCCTGGGACACAGATTGTGCTCCCCCTGCCCCTCCAGAGAAACAGGAGATACCCCCATACTTGGGGCGGACCAGCCCTCTCCAGCTGAGAACAGAGGACTCTCCGTCTGAGCACACAGACCTGCCCTCACTTAGCTATATATACACACTAGCTCCTGCACACTTGGGGACGCAAAAAAGCCCTCCCCTGGGAGAGAGATGGCTTTTCTTCTGGGCACAGATTGATACATACCTATAGGGAGAGCCAAAACCTCACCCCCAGGGGCCTGGACTGGACGCTGGGGTCTAGCTGGGGGCATCTGAGAGCCGTAGGTCCCCCCCTGCCCGCCGCCCGCTGGCCCTTCCGCCTCACTCAGCCACGGAGCTGGACGGGCGCGGGCCATGCAGCGGACAGCATGGAAAGAGCTCGCCCTGGTAAGGGAATTGTAAGTCCCAGGATCCCACATCCCTGGCGACCCCCAGGTTCAGAAACTCTAGGTCCCCGTCCCTCGGACCCTATCTCCCGGCAAACCGGACTCTTCGGACTCGCCCAGGAGTCCCTACCTCGGGCCTCCGGGCCTCTGACCCATTGAAATGGCTGGTTCCTCTTAGGGATGAGGGGGGAGTTGTCTCTGAACGCATCTGCGGGAGAAGCCAGAGACAGACTCTGTGAGACTGAACTCAGGGACGACCCCAAATGCCATCTCAATCTTCCAGAACCAGGGAGGAGGGTACCCGCGGCGCTGAGGGAATTTTCCTAGCCTGGGACCGCACCCCGGGTCTCGTTGACTCCAGCGAGAAAGGCTCAGCCTAAGTCCTCGCGGGAGAGGGGAGCGGAGGACCTGGGACCCGGTACCCTGCGGCACCCTGAGCCTTTCTCCGTGTCCAGGCGCCGCTGCAGGACTGGGGCGAGGAGACCGAGAACGGCGCAGTGTACAGTGTCTCCCTGCGGCGGCAGCGCAGTCAGCGCCTGAGCCCGGGGGACGGGCCTCGGAACAGCCAGGTGAGAAGGGAATGGAAGGGCAGGCAGGGCGGGAGGAGACCAGGTAAGGGCGGGGCGGAGTGGAGGGGCCTGGAGGTAAGGAGACTAGGGCGGACTGGAGGGGCGGAGCTGAGGGAAGGGCAGGATTTAGAGGTGGACACTTAAGGTGGGCGACCAGGTGAGTGGGGTAGATGAGTAAGGCGGGGCCAGGTCGGGGCGAGATTCCCGAGCTGGACCTGGGGACAACTGGACGGCTGGGCCTAGGTAAGTCAAGTTAGTGGGCGGAGCTGGGGGGGGGCGGGCCTTCTTTAGAAGCGGCCAGGTGAGGGCGGGTGGGGCGAAGGGCAGGGACCTGGACGGTCAGTGAAGCGCAGCTGGAGAACTGAGAGCAGCCTCGGGGTGGGCGGGAACAAGTGAGTGGGGACAGAGGGCAGGGCCTGGGAGGATGAGGGTGTCCAGGTTATTTGTAAACGGGGCAGAATAATGAATCCAGGGGGCCAGATTCAGAGGAATGGGCAGGATCAGATGTGAGAGCGGTGCTAGCAATGGGCGTGATTGGAAAAGGGGTGCTCCGGAAGATACTTCTCTGGGCCATTGCCCTCCCCGCCTCGCAGGCCCCTAGCCCCAATGCCGACGCCTTCCTCCATTACCGCACGAGCAAGTTTCGAGCACTGAGGGCGGCGCGTCTGGAGCGGCTGGTGTGGGAGTTGGTGTATGGAGACCCCCAACAGGACCCGAGCTTCGTGCCTGCCTTCCTGGCCACCCACCGGGCCTTTGTGCCCACTGACCGAGTGCTGGACCTTCTCCTGCCACCACCACCGCCACCCCTGCCACCCTGGTCAGTACCCGTGGGAAACCTCGTGTTCCCACCCCAGACCCTCACCCAGGCCCTCTCCGATTTAGAACTGGGAAAGCCCCAACCCCAGATCCCTCCTCCTAAGCCCTCCCAGCGCCCCTTCTTCACCTGATTTGGGGGACTCTTCCCAGGGTAGCGAGCAAGAAGACAGAGGGACAAGATCTGAGCTTCAACAAGAACTTGAGGTTGGTTTCCCATCCAGTAGCTATAGGGGGGTGGGGGTCCTAGAAATTAAAGGTCAGATCGGTGGGGGCTGCAGAGCTCCCTGCTGGCCTCTGAGGCCCTGCCCCTTTGGACAGGGCTGTGGTGTCTGTGCTGGGCTCCTGGCTGCGTGACCACCCTCAGGACTTCTGGGACCCTCCTGCCCACTCAAACCTAGGCAGTGTCCGCACCTTTCTGGGCTGGGCTGCCCCATTGGGGACTGAGGCCCTGGAGGCAGAGAAGCTGCTGGGAAATTTTCTGGAGGAGGCTGAGCAAGAGCAGGAAGAGGAGGAGCAGCCGGCAGCATGGGCAGGTGAGGGGTTTGCGGCACCGACAGAGCCCTGAGCAGGCCTTTTCTGCTTGCTCCCGCCCCAGGGGCCTCCTTTCCCTAAGGGAGCTGCAGATCTTGGAAAAGGTTCTTAACTTTGTCTGAGTCTCAGTTTCCCCACCTGTAAAATGGGGATAATAACCCTTTGTCTAACATTTTGACATTTGTCTAGCACCTCCCTTCCCCCTCTATCCTAACAACAAAGATACTCACTCCACCATCGAATCAGGATGCCCTGTGTTTCTGGCTACAAATTATTCCATTACTACTTGCCTTAGGAGCCACAAAGACTGGGGTTCAAATCCCAGTTCTGCCATTTGCTGACTGTGTGACCTTGGATAAGTAACGAGCCTCAGTTTCCTTATCTGTGAAATGGAGGTGATAATAGTACTTACCTCATTTGCCTCTTCATTCAGCAGATATTTAGCCACTGGCTCTGGGCACATAAGAGTGGACAGGAACTCTCAGTTCCCTGGGGAAGACAATCAGTAAACCAGTAAACAAACAATGAGGGCTTGGCAAATAGTATTATTTTCATTATTGTTATCACTGCTTATTTATTAGAATCGACCACTTATAATGAAATCTATACAAGAAACCATACTTGTATTTTCTTGTGTAGTAGGTGTCAGTGAACTATCTGGTCTTTTATGGAAAAATCTACCAACCTCTGTTGTAGACAAGTTTTAGGAGAGGGAAAAATATCCACATACTTCAAACTTGTCTTTGTTCAGTTGTCACCTCCTCAGACATGCCTTCTCTGATCCCCTCCCAATGAATATATTCTCCCACTCTGTGTCCTCTTAGCCTGTCATATTTTTCTGCATAGCACTCTTTGGTTTTGTCCCCAGCTCTATCGTCAGGGGCAGGAACAACGATGATTTGTTGACTGAATAAGAGCATCTTGCTTATAAAGTGTCATCTTTCACCCATCTGTGTTTCATCTGATCCCTATCACAAAAGCGCCTATATCTCTAATCCCAATCCTTTAATCCTCAGATTAAAGTGGCCACATTTCTCTCTGCTTTACAAAGTAGCAGCCACTTCTCTCTCCTGTTGATAAAGTCTCATTTATATATATTTTATCCCTCCATCTTCCCTCCTGGTTACTAGGTGTCTTTTTTCCTCTGCTTTCAAGACTTCACCAGCTGATCTAACCACTACACTGTATACCTGAAACTAATATAAAATAATATTGAATGTCAACTATAATTTTAAAAAAATAATCATGAGGATGTAAAGTACCTCATAGGGAATATAGTCAATAATACTGTAATAACTATGTACAGTGTCAGATGGGTAATAGACTTATTGGGGTGATCACATTGTGAGATATACAAATGTCTAATCACTATGTTGTTTTGTACACCTGAAACTAATTAAGAAAAAAAGATTTCACCAGCTGATTCCAAGTCATTGGAACTGCATAGTCCAATACAGTAGCCACTAGCCCCAATGGTATTGAAATTGAACTTAAATTAATTAAGTTAAAAATAAAAATTCAGTTCCTTGGTTTCACTAGCCACCTTTCTAGTGCTCAGCAGCCACATAAGACAACACAGGTAGAAAATATTGCCACCATTGCAGAAAACTCTATTTAAAGTGCTGCTCTAAACTATGAGTTCTTGTTGAGGTCAGAGGAGAAAATGAACATTTATTAAACACCTACTGCATGCCAGACTCTGGGAGCCTTAACATTTTTATTTGGGGGTAATTTTTTACTACACATACAAAAGTAGACAGTATAAAAGACACTCAAACACCCATCACTATTCATCTTCAACAATTATCAATTCAAAAAAGTTTTTGAAGATGATTTGAAAGCAAATCCCAGAATTATGTCACTTCACAGATCAACATTTAGGTTTATACCTCTAATTGACAAGGACTTTAAAATATATATATCATTCATTCCCACAATTATTTCCAACAAAATCAGCAGTAATTATTTAATATCAAAAAATACCCAGTCCATAGCCAAATTCCCCCATTATCTCTAAATTGTCTTTTTTACAGTTGTTTCTTCGAAATCCAAAGATCCATTCAAGGAATTAATTTGTGTTTCTTAGGTCTCTTTTATTCTTTGACAGTTCTTCTTTGCCTTTTGTTTAATGCCATTAGGAAAGAGAAATGGGTCATTTGTCCTTGGCAATGTTTCACATTCTTCTGCATTTGCCTATTTGCTTTCTCATGGTGACATGTAATATGTTCCTCTATCCTCCATATTTGCTGTAAGATCTGAAGGTTTGATTAGATTTAGGATTTTTACCCCCAATACCTACTTTTTAAAACTAATATTTTGCAATGTCATCTATCCTAATTTGAAATGAAAGACAGATAATTGAGCAGACTTACACAGATAATCATAATATGATGCTGTAAGTGTAATACAAAGGAAAAGAAAAGGAAAGCAATTTGCACAACAATAATGCACATACCTTGTAGAGGTATGGATGCTTGGACATGCCCATTAGGAGACACAGTGAAGTTGTCTGGTGCCTTCATCTGTTGGAGCATCATGGTGAATGTGACAGCCATAAACATCGACTAATGCAGGGAAGTGTGCACTGGCGACACAGATGCAGTAGCATAGACTTTGGCGATATCATTTTCCAAAATGGTGAACAACACTTGCAATTTCCAAACAAAACAAAGTCCAGGCTTTCACAGTCCTCGCATTCCTGGAGCCAAAATAATTAGTGTTTATGAGCAAGGTAGCTGAGTGCTAGATTACTGTAAACAGGTTTTTCAAGGACACAAATGTCTTAGAGGGACATTTGGAGGCTGGGTAGCACAATTCTTCACTGTGCATGTGCCCCCTGCCCCTTTTGTGGAAGATTCCAACTTCCAAAATGTCCCCTAGGGGCACAACCATTGAGATCCACTACTTAAAGTCATATTTGAGTACTTTATAGAAGTGTGGTATGCATGATCTTGTTTGATTTTTTTTTAATCCGATGAAGAAAACAAGGCACAGAGAGGTTTAAAAGCTTGCTTCTGTTTGCACAGCAAGCGCACTGGACAAATTGGATCTGAACTTGGTACTTTCTGACAATAACCTTCCCTTAATCACAAAGTTATACCGCATCTCAAGAAAAGAAAAGGGCATAGGAACTTATCCTAATACAGGCTCAGAGTTATGGAGCTCTATTTCTACACTGGCCTTTGAGCACCTGATTGCAAATCCCTACCATGCCATTTACTGAAGGTGTGACTTAGGGCAAAGTGTTCCTGTTGCCCACTCATAGAAGGTGGGTAATCGTACCTGGCTCACTAGTTAGTGTTCTAAGTTACCGAGTTAATCCACTCGAGGTGCTCAGTGAACGTTACTGTCGCTCTGAAGTCCTTAAAAACATTCAAGGAGGTCTCCATTTAACAAATGAGGAAAGTGAGGCTCAGAAACGCTAAGGTACTTGCCCAAGGTCACGCAGCCAGTCCTGAATTCAACCTGAGAGTTTTTAACCCTCTCTAACGCTCTCTCAGGACTTCCCGAAACTGTCCAGACCCCCAGCCCAGACTCCCAGGAAGGCTGCTTGGAAGAGGAAGAAGGACTGGTGTTGGAAGGCCCTGAGCTTCTGGAATTCAGTGTAGACGATGTGGCAGAGCAGTTGACGCTGATGGATGCGGTGAGGACGCGGGAGGGGTGCGGTGGGGGAGGGAGGCAGGTCCCGTTGAGCACAGATCCTACCCATCCACCACCACCACCCCCCCTCCGCTCAGGAACTCTTCTTACGCGTGCGGCCCTGGGAGTGCCTGGGCTCCGTGTGGTCGCAGCGGGACCGTCCAGGGGCCGCAGGCACTGCCCCCACTGTGCGCGCCACTGTGACCCAGTTTAACAAAGTGACAGGTTGCGTGCTGGGCTCCGTGCTTGGGGCGCCCGGCCTGGCTGCCCCGCAAAGGGCGCAGCGGCTGGAGAAGTGGATCCGCATCGCACAGGTGCGAGTTGCAGGGGAGGAGATGCGGGGGGCGGGACATGGAGGCGGAACCGAGGTCCGAAGAGAGGAAGGGGGCGGGCAGAAGGCCGAGGACAGGGGTCTGGGAAGGTGGAGACAGTTGGGGCTGGGAGGGGCTTAAATGAAAGCCTAGGAAGGGGTTGTGCTTGGCTGGGCCCAGGACGGCAGAGGGAGAGGGACGTTGGGCGGGCCTTCGGATAAGAGGATAGAATGGGATGGGGAGTGATGGGACAGGATAGGATTGGAGGAGGGAACAAAACCCAGAGAAGGAGGCGAGGGTCCCAAAAGAGACTGGGTGGTGGCGGGCTTGTGCCTCGGGGCTGAGAGGAAGAGAAAGAAATGGGGGCCCAGGACAGAGAGCGGGGGCGACAAGAAGGGAGAGGGGTATAGAAGGTTAACCCTGGTGAGATTTGGGTTCAGGGAGGAGGAGTCTAGGTCCAGAAGAGATGCTGTGGGCGCGCCTCGGGCCCAGGGAGACGTAGGAGTGGGGACTCGGGAAGCCAAGGTCAGAAGTAGGGGTTGAAGGAGCAGCTGCGGGAGGGACTGGGGCTCCAGGTGGGGGGTGGGGGGCTGCTGGAGGAGGAGACTGAGTCCTGGTAGCCTGTCACGCGTGGGGCGAGTCGCAGGGGATTGACCTAGGGTCAGAAGTTATGAGATCAAAGGCAGATCACACCTGGGAGTCAGGCTCGGGGTCTGACCAGCGCCCCCACCCCACTTCCCAGCGCTGCAGGGATCTGCGCAACTTCTCCTCCCTGCGCGCCATCCTGTCCGCCCTGCAGTCTAACCCTATCTATCGGCTCAAGAGCAGCTGGGGTGCTGTGAGCAGGTGAGCAAGAATGGGTGGGGGCCGCCAGGGTGAGACCTCCTCCTTACCCCATCCCACCTCTGACTAGCCCAGCCTGGTTCCTGACCCCTCTCCTGTGTCCCCAGGGAACCGTTATCCACTTTCAGGAAACTTTCGCAGATTTTCTCTGATGAGAACAACCATCTAAGCAGCAGAGAGATTCTTTCCCAGGTAAGAGGCGTGGGGAGCACACCTGGGGCTGGACAAGGCATTACTTGTCCTAACGTTCAGCGTCCTTTCCCTAACCTCAGGAATGACCTTGCCCTTGTAGGTGGGCAGCCCCATGTTTTTACTGCCTCAGCTGTCCTCACGATAGCTCACACTTGGTAACGGCCTTATTTATTCATTCAACAAATACCAGAAGTTACGGGGAAAGGTCACTTAAGGCTAGAGTCGTAGCAAAGAGTGGAAAAAAAAAATTGTGCCAGAGACTTGACTTTGATAAGCAAAACTAAAACATGTGTGCCAACAGGTCAGCCTGAGGTTCTAATTGTAATTAGGGGTGGTGCTTAGAGTGAGTCCAGAATACATGGAACGTTCTTCACATTCACCTCCTGCAGGTCTCTACCCTCAGATACAGGATGCCCTCCCTGCGCCCCCCAGCATCTCCACCTCCTCCACTTTTATTGTCCTTATCTCTGCATGTCCTTAATTACATGTTCATTTGGCTGTTGCTCTCTCTCCTTCCATAACGTCTGTTTCACCAGGCCAGGGTTTTTGTCTGTTTTGCTCAGTGCTGCCGCCCCAGCACTCAGGACAGTGCCTGGCCCAGAGTAGGCGCTCAGTATTTGTGAGTAATGAATATCTCACATAAGGATGATCTCAGGGAACAAGGAGCTCTGCATTCAGCACCTACTGTGTACCAGACACTGTGCCAGGAGGCTTGGCCATGAACCAGACAGACACGGTTCCTGCCTTGGGGGAATTCAGGCCCCAGACAGGGGAGACACACAGCGCAATGAGAACTGCCCCAGCAATGATATAATGAATTACCAGGCAGAGCATATCATGAAGGCAAGATTCAGGGCATTCCCAGGGGATTGCCTGGGGACCTGTTCCCTCCAGGCCTGGCACAAGGATTCTAACCTGTGTTGAGAACCAGCCCTGGGGGCCATCACACCCACGAGCTGCACCTCTGGTCATCCCCAGTGGGGCCAGTTGCCTGTTGTTTATCTGCTCCCTGCCTGCCTCCTCCTGTTCATTTCTCTTGAGTATGGCCTTTGCAACTGGTTTGTGATTGCTGAAAGCAAAATGGGTGTACATTGAGGCATCTTCCCTGAAGGAGGGGTCATGGAGACCCCAGGCCTGCTCAGTCCTTCCCTCCCCCAGGAAGAGGCCACTGTGGGACCCCAAGAGGACACCCCCCTAGGAAGCCTGCCTTCAGTGAGTGATGTGGTTTCAGATGGGGGACAACTGGGACCCTTGGAGGGAAAGGGAACATGATGGGGTTGGTGATGGCTGAGAGTGACTGGACTTTGGGGACTGCAGAAACTGCCCCCAGGCCCAGTCCCCTATCTTGGCACCTTTCTCACGGACCTGGTTATGCTGGACACAGCCCTGCCGGACATGCTAGAGGTCTGTCTCCTGACCCTTGACTCTTGACCCCAGCACCACTTGCCCTCAGCACAGTGGGCCTCCTGACATCCCATCCTTGACCCTGCCTGCACTACTGACCCCAGCCCCCTTAGTGGGGCTCCTGACATCCCAACCCTTGACCTTGACCCTCAATTCTTGACCCTGGAAACTCCAGTTCAGACAAAGTTTGCCCCCCAGGGGGATCTCATCAATTTTGAGAAGAGGAGGAAGGTGAGTGGGGACTGGAGTGGGTGTGGGAGAGGACCAAGGTGGCGGCAGGGCATGGGTGGGGTCTCAGAAGCCACCTCCTCAGGAGTGGGAGATCCTGGCTCGTATCCAGCAGCTTCAGAGGCGCTGTCGTAGCTACTGCCTAAGCCGCCACCCGCCCATCCTGGCTGCCCTGTGTGCCCAGCGCCAGCTCAGCGAGGAGCAGAGGTGACCGCCCTGTGGCCTAGCCAACCCCATCCCAGCTGACCCTGGATGGCACACTGGATTTGCTTACCCCATGCATCTCTCCAAATCTTCCTAATATCCCCCTCCTGAACCCTGCCCCCCAATATGTGAACTTGTATTATCTCCAGCCCAACTGAGGGCCCCAAATGACTTCAGACATCAAACTTTGACCCCATCTGACTTTCTGACTTTTAACGTGCTGCTGACTATTTAACTCAACCATACCCTCGGTTTTCTTCGCACCTCTGAACGTATCTGATCTGTGACCCCATTTGTGAGCCCCATCTGACCTTCTGAGCCCAATCATTGACCCCAAATTTTGAGTAACTGACTTTGATTTTGATGTATATTTGACTAACTCAGCTATCCCAGTTGTTTCCTTTCATTCTGTTGAATCCATGAACCTAACCATTGACCTAATGATTATCTGAACTTGAACTCTATCCTTGACCCAATTTGACTTCTCAGTCCCTGAGTGACCTGCCAATCAAGCCATCCATCTCATTCCTAATAAGACCCTGATGCTGTGTGACCCCATTTACTACCCTGACCCTGACATTTGGTACCCAACACCTGGCTGTTCCCCACAACACCCAAAACCCAGCTCCCAAATTATTCTAACTCTTGTCTTCCAACCCATTCCCCCACCCCCCATCTGCATCTTGACCCCTCAGTTACCGCATCTCCCGTGTCATTGAGCCTCCGGCCGCCTCCTGCCCCAGCTCCCCACATGTACGGCGACGAATTAGCCTCACCAAGCGTCTCAGTGCGTGAGTGTCGGGGTGTCTGTGTGGGGTGACATGGGCACAGATGAGGGAGGCTGCTCCTGGGAGAGCCTGCCCTCAGCCTCGGCCCCTGTCCCCATCCTCAGGAAGCTGTCCCGAGAGAGAGGTTCATCCCCTGGTGGGAGCCCTGGGGACCCCTCATCCCCCACCTCCAGGTGAGCATCCTGCTTGTTGAAGGGACTGGAGATGGCGGGGTCAGAAGTCAGGGCAGCCACCCCACCTCAGGCTCTGCATTTCACCCAGTCTATCCCCAGGGTCCCCCCCATCCAGTCCTAGAACCAGGGACCCTCCTTCTAGAAGTCCCCCGGCCTCTCCAGGGCCCCAGGGCCCCAGCACCAAGGTACCAAGCCTGCCTATGTGTGTATGTGGGACTGTGGACACCCAGGGCTGTATGTGTGTGTGTACACGGGATTTGGGGTCAGGGGTGTACACAGGAGATTGTACTCATGCTTGGCTCAGCACTTGGGGTACCTCTCCACGGGACCATGTGCATCTTCATGGCCCCAGTTGAGGAATTGTCTCTCCATCTGGCATGTGCCCAGACCTGGACCCGTGTGTCTGCTCATCCACAGGGCACTCCGGGGTGCAATCACACTTTTGTGAGAATATGTTTGTCCCCAGAAATGTGCATACCTAAAGGGGAAATGTGGGCACATATATCCAAAATATCCACGGAACCATGTACAGGGCTGTTCATGAATATACACTTGTGTATCTGTGTACAACAACTGTGAGCATATGTGTGTACTCACTATTCTGTGTACACAGGATTTCTTATGTATAAATATGGGTTTGTGTGTTTATCGATCATATGTAAATTTGTGTAACAGGGAATGAAGAGCCATAGGTGATGGGATTGTACAGATGTGGGCTTGTATGTGTACCCTAATTGTGTGTCCCCAGGCTCTGGGTGTGTAGGGGCATGTATTGAATATGGGAGGGGCCTGGTGCTGTCCCACCCCTCAGCCTGCAACTCCCGCTGCCTACAGCTGCCCCTGGCCTTGACCCTGAGCTGCCCTCCCATCCCCGTTGTGGGGCAGCAGGGCTTGGAGGTCCGGGTCATTCGCGTCAGCATCGACAATGACCATGGGAACCTGTATCGAAGCATCCTGGTGAGGGGCTGGGCTGAGGACCAGCTGGGGGAAGCCCTGCCTTTGGGGCTCAGGCCATCACACCTCACATCATACCTTCTCTTCCCAGCTCACGAGTCAGGACAAGGCCCCCAGCGTGGTGCAGAGAGCCTTGCAGAAGCACAATGTGGCTCAGCCCTGGGCCCGTGACTACCAGCTCTTCCAAGTCCTTCCTGGGGACCGGGGTGAGCAGGGACAGCTTGGAACCTGGGCTAGGGGGCAGCTAGAAGGGTGGCTGAGTGACCAAGAGTCAAGAGGGCCCTAACAGGGCCATGAGGTGGTACAGGCACAGAGTAGGTGTAAGATGAAACAGGGTGGGAGGAAGAGGCAATAAAATGCCTGTGCCTCGGTTTTATGGGTCACGTGGCTGTCCTGGCTCAGTGTGAGGAACGAGGGCAGCAAAGACGTCTTCCTAGGATTTATGGGGAGATGAGGTTGTCCAGGGTCACACAGGAGAGGGCGTGCAGGAAGTTGTCTGGGCTTAAATTATAGGATTATGAGGTTGTTCAGGCTCAACCTGGGGGGATGAGACCGAAGGGGGTCTGGGCTTCAACTCGAGGGGAAATTAGTTTGTCCAGGCTCAGCATGGGGACTCTGAAGTTATCTGAACTTGGCAGAGGAGAAGGCCACACGGCATTCAAGTTCAGGATAGCGGAGCATGACGTCGTTCAATATAGGAGATTGTCCAGTTTTTGCAAGGGAGAGGCAAGAGGTTGATGTGTTAAAGGACAGACATGAAGTAGGCTGGACGTTAGGAAGGAAAGTATGATGTTGTTCAGGTGTCAAGCGTGAGGGCCACAGGTTGTGCGGGCTGGAAGTTGATCCAAGTTCATGGTGAGAATAGCATGAACTTGGCTGGGAATTGGCTGTGGGGGAAGGGTAGGATGGACAGGAAGTTGTTTAGGATTTGTGGCCTGTGTTTGCCCAAGCTTGTAGTGCAGACTCTGTAGACTCCAGGGGAAGTGGCTGGAGGTTGCCCAGGTCTGTGGTGGGTAGGAGACATGAGGTTGTGTAGCTTCAAGTGGGAAATTGCCTAGGTTCTCAGTGAAAGGGGGATGAGGTTGGCTTAGCAGTGGCTGAGGGGACCCAAGGTTGTTCAAGCCCCAGGTTGAATGGCAGAAGGTTACCTCCACCTAGGTCCCTTGTAGAGGAAGTATGAGGTTGTGTGGGATTTCATCATTATATCCACACCTGGCCAGAGCTCCTGATTCCTGACAACGCCAACGTCTTCTATGCCATGAGTCCAGCCGCCCCTGGAGACTTCATGCTGCGGCGAAAGGAGCAGGCCTGGCACACAACCTCAGTCTCCCCAACCTGAGGTGGCCCTCTCCTGCCTCCAGGACGCAGGTCCCATGGGCAGCTTCTATCACCATCCTCTCCCGGAAAGCTCCCATTCCCCTATAGAGCCATTGAGTTCCAAACCCTGTGACCCCTCCCCCAACTTTACTGAGCCCCATCCCTCTGACCCTCTTGGCACTGGATTCCTATTCCAAAGCCATCAGCCCACAGGGTGGATGGTGGAGGGCTCCATCGCATACTAGGGATCAGACTCTTCCCCAGAGAAATCGTGTAACTGTTGGAGATGCAATAGAACTGACAGAAGTGGATGAAAATACTGATCAAAGTTATGAAACAGGGGTCAGTCTTGTTTGTTCTGCGCCTGTGGCTCATGTTCACTCTTTAGCAAGATAAAAATGTAAAAGGAAAGGGGGAAAAAAACAAAACTAAGAACCCTAGGAAAGGGGTTGGGTGAGGCATGACTGGATGCTGGGGCGGTGCGGGGGGGTGGGCTGTCACACACACAGAGTTCAGGACTCCCTCTCCTAACATTTTTGGGGCAATATGTTTTTCTGCTGTGTATATGGGAGGTGAAGAAATGAAATCCCATTGGAATCAGAAACAAATAACATCATCACTCATGAGTCAATAAGGGCTGTGAGGATAAAAGGAGAAAGTGAGTTATCTGTCAGTAATGGGGTAGGAAGAAGAAACGAGGAGAAGGCAGAGATGAAGTAAGCTATAGGGCCACAGGCAACAGAGTCATAACAACAACAACAATAATAATAACATGTCCACTTATGCACTCCACTCTGTGTTGGACACCATCTAGGGGCTTTATAGCTCACTTATTAATCAGCATTCTTTCTGTTTCAAATGGTCAAAAAAAAAAACAATTCAAACAGACATGGGCAAAAAAGAAAAATTAATAGCTCATGTAATTAAAAAGATTAATTTGTCCAGCTTCAGGCACACTTGGATCCAGGGACTCAAAATATGTCATCAGGACTTCCTTGCTGTCTCTTATTTGCTCTAAGAATGAGACTGTCCATTGTTCCCCAAAATCTAATCACCTTCTTCTATGGTAATAGAACCCAGTGATTTTTATCTGGTCACCCAGAGTAAAAACTGCATTTCCAGTCTCCTTGCAGCAAAATGTGTTCATGAGACTAAGTCCTAGCCAATGAGATATAAAGGGAAAGGATGTGGGTAAATGCTAGGTCCTGCCCTTTCTCGTTTTCTGCCTCCTGCTGTTTAGAATGAAAACATAGGGTGGATCATGTTAGACTGGGTGATACACACCCTCTAAATTACTGAACAAGGGCCAGCTGAGTGGCTCAGTTGGTTAAGAGCTCGCTCAAGACTGCGAGCTCTGAGCAACAGCAGTTCAATGCCAGGCCCAAGCTGAGCTGCTGTTGAGCTGCCAACAAGTGGCAGGATGGCTCAGCTAAAAAGTAAATAAATAAAATAAATAAATAGATAGATAGATAGATAGATAGATAGATAAATTACTGAACAACAAACTGGAAGGAGCATGGTTGTCTGAGACCAGAGAGCTGCCATATTGTATTGCTGCTACTTGGATTGTTACATAAGAGAGAAATAAATGTCTATCTTAAGCCACTATTACTTGGGTCTCTGTTGTAGTAGCCAAAAGAACATTTTAAGTAACATAGCCCCACTCCAAGGCAGGCTCACACTTCCTGCAGGCAGTGCCAGGTTTACATCCTACCAGCTCCAACCTCCCATGCAAGAACTGTTTTTTCTCATCAGCAAAAGCCCCACACCAGATGCCCATTGGACCAACTTGTGTCATGTGGCCACCCCTGAACCAATGACTTTGTTCAGAAGAATGTAATATGCTGATTAGTCAGGCCTGGGTCCTGTGCCCCTCCTTTTAAGGGGCAGAAAAACTTCAAACTACAGGAGTGAAGTCTGGAAGGGCACAAAAATGGAAATTACACTTGGGTGCTGTTACTAGGAGAAGGGAGAATTCTGGTGAATGGGTGAAAAATATTGTCTAGGATTCTAAACACTGTTCTTAGAGCATTAATGGGGGATGCCCAGGCCCTATCTGTGGTGGGAGGGAAGACAGAAGAATCTAAGCATTATGTAGGGTCTGGTAAAACAAATTACAGTACACAACATGCTACTTTACAGGCTTTGGGGGGCGGTTGCTATGAGTATTAAGACCTTAGGACCAATTGGATGTAAGTAACAATATACTTGAACTAGCTTAAGAAAATAATTGCTATATGATGTAATATATGAATTATATCTCAATAAAAATAAAATAATTGCTATCATTCCTGAGTGCTTACTATGTGCCAGGCACTATTTTAAAACTTGACATACGAGGTCTGCCAGTTAAGTTCGCGAATTCATCCTAGAAAAAGTGCTACATACCTCATTGCTGAATATCACTACAGTCACCTTTGAAGTACTCCCCTTGGGAAGCTATGCATCAATGCCAGTGGTGAGTCCACCCTTCAAAGCAATTTTGAAACTTTTTCTGGAATGGCCATCAGAGCTCTCGTCATATTACCCTTGATGTCCTGAATGTCATCAAAATGTTTTCCTTTCAATATTTCCTTTATCTTTGGGTAAAGAAAGAAGTCATTGGGGGCCAGATCAGGTGAGTAGAGAGGGTGTTCCAATACAGTTATTTATTTACTGGCTAAACATTCCCTCACAAACAGTGCCGTGTGAGCTGGTGCATTGTTGTGATGCAAGAGCCATGAATTGTTGGCAAAAAGTTCAGGTCGTTTTTGTCTAACTTTTTCACACACCATTTTCAGCACTTCCAAATAGTAAACTTGGTTAACTGTTTGTCCAGTTGGTACAAATTTATAATGAATAATCCCTCTGATATCAAAAGCATTGTTTTGACTTTTTTTTTAAGATTTTATTGGGGAATCTGTTAGATAAATTGCTGTCTTTTTGTTCTTCACTCTAGTTGTGGAGGACGTCGCTTCACTGTCCCATGTTGGTATTATTGCACTCTTTCTGGGTGAGGCAATCAGTTGTCAGCCACTGGACAGCCATTCACAGCGGCTCATGGTAGCTCATGGCAGCCCACTGCAGCCTATGCCATCGCCGGTGACTCACGGCAGCCCAGCTCCAGGTCGAGCTGTTGTTCACCATCTTAGCTGTGGAGGGTGCAGCGTCACTAGCCCTCATGTGGGATCCGAACTGCAGCCCTGCTCCTCAGAGCTGGCACTCCCAAGCCAACTGTTAACCAATGTACCACATGGCTGGCTCCGTTTTGACTCTTGATTTGGACTGACGGAATTGTTTTGGTCATGGAGAATTGGCTATCTTCCATTGTGCACTTTGACGCTTTGTTTCAGGGTCCTATTGGTACACCCATGTTTCATCACCAGTGATAACACGGCCCAAAACATCGTCTTGCCTCTCCAAAAGGTTTTGGCAAACTTCGACTCTCTTTTGTTTTTATTTTTGTTCATCAGTGAGCTCTTTCAGGACCATTTTTGCACACACGTTTCTCATGCCAAGATTTTCAGTTAAGATTTTCCTGTTTCTCTATCGATGTTTATTTGGTCTGCTATGCTTCTCATAGTCAGCCAACGATTTTGACTCACAAGTCAATGAATTTTTGCAATGTTTTCTTCAGCTCTGCTGGTTACTGGCCACCCTGACCTCTCTTTATCAGTGACGCGTTCTCTCCCCTCAGAAAAACATTTAATTCATTTGTACACTGCCATTTTCTTCATGACATTCTCCATAAACTTGGGCTAACATCCCTGATTTCACTTTCACTCTTGTCAAGTTTAACAAGAAATTTAATGTTTGTTCATTGCTCTAATTCAAGCTCAGACATTCTCGCGACGGCACACAAAAACACGCAACAACAATAAGGACGCCACTCAGCAAGACATCGCCACATGTCTACACGAACACAGCTGTGTGACACTGATATACCGTATTCCCCCATGTACAAGATGCACCTTAATTTTGGGGCCCGAAATTTGAAAAAGAATGTATTACATAAAGTTATTGAACTCAAGTTTTATTCATCATAAAATTCATACAACTCTGGCTGGCTGAGTGGCGCGTTGGTTAAGAGTTGGCTTGGGACGCCAGCTCTGAGCAGCAGGGTCCTGGTTCGGATCCCACATGAGGGCCAGTGACACTGCCCTTTACAGCTAAGATGGTGAACAACAGCTCGACCTGGAGCTGGACTGTCATGAGTCGCCAGCGATGGTGTAGGCTGCAGCCCCTGCTGCAATGGGCTGCCATAAGCTACCGTGTGTGTCTGGCAGCCAGCGTGAGCAGCCGGCAGCCAGTGTGAGCTGCCAAGAGCCGCCGTGAGTGGCTGTCCAGAGGCCGGCGACTGATCTGCCTCACCCGGGAAGAGCGCAATGATAATACCAACATGGGCCAGCGAAGTGATGTCCTCCACAACTAGACTGAAGAACAAAAGGACAGCAACTTATCTGTTCCCCTTCCCCGATTCCCCAACGCTGTTCCCCTTCCCCAATTCCCCAATAAAATCTTAAAAAAAAAAATCATACAACTCCTCATCACTGTCAAAAAATATACAACCACTGTATAAGACGCACCCGGTTTTTAGACCCCAAATTTTTCGAAAAAGGGTGCGTCTTATACATGGGGAAATAAGGTACCAAGGTTATGAAACCTTACTGAGCTGTTTATACAGTGCTGCCAATGTAAGCGCACAGTGGCAAGTTTGCGAACTTAATTGTCAGACATTGTAATCTATCTCATTTAATCCTCATAATAGCCCTATGAAGTAGGCACTACTATTTTGCTTATTTTATACATGAAAAACTGAGACTAGACAGGGTTAAGTAATTTATCCAAGTTGGCATGGGAATTGGCAAGACTGGGGCAAAACTGAAGGACCTGACATGTGCCAGAACATGTTCACTTAACCAATGGGCTAGTTTGCCTCTCATAAGCACTCTTTAAAGTTCCTGCCTCTCTTTCGCACAACACACAGTCCAAATGCCGATTTTCTGAGGAAGAGATTCTCACTGAATCACTTCTGTTTTTAAAAAGTGCAGGGGTGGGCTGGCCGAGTGGTGCGTTGGTTAAGAGCTGGCTTGGGACGCCAGAGGGCCCCGGTTCGGATCCCAAATATGAGGGCCAGTGTGACACTGCCCTCTACAGCTAAGATGCTGAACAACACCTCAACCTGGAGCTGGGCTGCCGTGAGTCGCCAGCGACGGCGTAGGCTGCAGCCCCTGCTGCAGTGGGCTGCCATGGGCTACCGTGTGTAGCCAGTAGCCAGTGTGAGCGGCCAGCAGCCACAGTGTCCAGCAGCCACTGGACAGTGTGAGCGGCTGTCCAGAAGTCGGGGACTGATCTGCCTCACCCGGGAAGAGCAATGATGGTGCCAACTTGGGGCAGTGAAGCAATGTCCTCCACAACTAGACTGAAGAACAAAAGGACAGCAACTTGTCTGTTCCCCTTCCCCCGAGTCCCCAGGGCTGTTCCCATCCCCCAATTCCCCAATAAAAATCTTAAAAAAAAAAAGTGCAGGGGTACTCAGGCACAGCTATATCCAGTGACTAACACAAGATCAACTGTTTCTTTACATCTCTTAGCTGGGGTTTTCTGTAATCTTTACTTCACAAATATTTCTTGAGCTTCTACTATACTAATCCCTGTTCTAGGTGCTGGGAACATTGAAATGAACAAAACATACTAGTAGGGGCAATGAATCAATAACGAAACATCAATATCACATGGTAGTTGATATTAAGGGGATGCTAAATAATAACAACAATAATAAGCCATTTAATGGCGATGGGAAGTGTGGGATGGGAAGGTTACTATTTTAGATACAATGATCAGGGAGGGCTTCACTGAGGGAGGTGACATTTGGGCAGAGGCCTGAGTAAAATAAAGTGACCCCTGGTATTTAGAGAAAGAACCCTCCACCAGAGGGAATAGATGGTACAAAAGCCCATGTTAGCTTCACCACCAAGCAATTTCTTTCCTCATACTGGCAAAAAATGTTCTTGGCTACACCATCTGCCCACCTTGTTGCCCAACAGAAAGCGACACCACCTCTCCCAGTAACACCAGGTAAAGTCCCAGGATGGAAGCTCCTTGGTTGCCATTTGAATCACATGCCCACCCTGAACCAATCACTGTGCTGCGCAGAATGGAGTGTTCTAATTGGCTAATCTACGTTGGGCAAGAGCAGTGCGGTAGTTATCCCCTTTCCCCAGGCTTGTACCTCTGTGGGGTATTTACCCCAGTTTAAGCTCAGCCCAAGCGAAGAGCTTCTATGGTTTGTTCTATAGTTACTTTCCAGATTATTAAAAGTAACTGCACTCTCGTCGTAAAATAAAATCCCAAGTATATGAATGTAAACAGTAATTTTTTTCAAATAAAAATTACAATTAAAATCTCACACTTCAGAATATATGTAATTTTACAAATATAGGATCATATCGTACATACTGGTTGGCAGCTCTGCCTAGCACTGTGCACTCAATAGCTAGTCACTATTACGATTATTATTCCTATCCAGCCTGGGAAGAGATGCTGATCAACAAGATAATATCAGTAGCTTACATTTTTGGAATGTTTGCTATATGCCAAGCCAAATTTTACAGATGAGAAGGTTGAAGCTCAGATAAGGTAGGTCACCTTTCCAGGGTCACACAGCAAGAAAGTGTCTGACGCAGAAACCGGAGCTATTCCTCCCTCCCCTCAATCCGCTGGGAGGGCCCCTGCTCTTCCCGCGGGGCCGGACGGGGCTGCTGCCTCTTGCTTATCTCAGCTAGGGCTGCCGGCTGGTCCCGCCCTCTCGGGGAAGCTGCCACTTGGAGGCGCCTGGCCGGGAAGGGCCTGGTCAGCTGTGTCCGGCGGAGGCAGCTGCTGACCCAGCTGTGGAGTGTGCCAGAGGTGGAGGAAGGGGGAGGGCAGGAGCTCCGGGCCAACCGTGGCGGGGGCTGCATTATGGATCACCTCTGGGCGCCCCTTTGGCATGGTGTCGGCTCCCTCTGTCTCCTGCTCGCTGGGGCCGCCTGGGCTCCTGCACCCAACCCCCCGGGCCCCGAGTTTGAAAGCAAAGGTAAGGATGGAGCTGTGTGTGGCTCCCCCGCACTGGGTCTTGGAGGGCAATGCTGGGGCCTGAACGTCCAGCCTGTGTCCTTGGAGCCATGCTTGTGTCTAAACTTCTAAAGCGGGTCTTAGCGGGGCACGCGGCCGGGGCGATGAG